GGTTTACCTGGACAGGTAATTCAGGATCTTGTTTTTTGGATAAGCAATGCTTATTTGCGCTATATTGACATTTCTAGTAGTAGTAAACAAAAGCTAGAAGCTATGCAATTGTTTGGGGAGGCCCTGCAAAATGCATCATAATGGTTATTATATCAATTGCATGTCTACTGTCTAGGAATTATCATTCTCCCATATTTATACTTTTAGTTAATGTTCAAACAATTTACAGTCATTACCTCTAAACCTCTTGGGCTGGGGGAAATAATATATTTCTTCATGTAAGCCAATGCATGATGGCACTATCATAATTGTGTTATGCAAAATGCAATTTGCCTTCAGCACAAGGTTTTTAAATAAACTTCCAGTTATTTTATTTTTCCTATTTTCTTGAATAAGTTAGTCTAAAGAGAGATTTTAACTTGTTAAAATGAGTTTTAAGAGTTATGCAAGAGTTGTCTCCCCTAGACCACTGTCTCTCGTTTCTTGTTTGTAAAAAGGCATTTTGAATTATCTCCCCTGTTTGTAGGGGACACTGTACGTAGCTATTCATGTCAACGCTAGAACATGCACGCAGTTTGGGAGATTACCCACCCTCCCTCCCAGTAGTATTATTGGTCTGTGGCAGATGAAATGTTTTTTTCGCAATTGTGCTTACGTATTCGAAGTTTGTGTATATACAATGTTTTGTGGGAGGGGGAAATAATATATTTCTTGATGTAAGCCAATGCATGATGGCACTATCATAATTGTGTTATGCAAAATGCAATTTGCCTTCAGCCCAAGGTTTTTAAATAAACTTCCAGTTATTTTATGTTTGCTGTTTTCTTGTATGAGTTAGTCTATAAACAAGAACATGTACTTAAGTAATGATACTAACATCAGATTCATCACATCTGTGTATATATATATTGAAATGGAATAGTCTCAATAGCATTGTTCCTCAAATGATCGACTACTGCTCTGGCACGCGATGAGGCCTGGCGCATCATCCATGAACAGGGACGACTGGCAAGTGTGTGATTGTCAAAATGGGGTATTACGGCAACATCCAAGATGTCTCGTTGATAACGTTGTCCGATTAACGCTTTCGGTACTGTGATTAGGTCCAGCTTGCAGTCGTGAGGACACACAACCCCACACCATCACTGAGCCACCGCCAAAGGGGACCGTTGGTTCAATCATTTCCGGTTATAAGCTTCATTGGCGCGGCGGCGCCAGACACGGCTGCGGCCGCCAGTGACGCATGCAAAAGGTAACGACTTTCGTCCGACCAGTGGACTGGGCGCCAGTATCAGAGATTGTGGTTTTGCCTTAACCTGCACCGCACCAGGCGTTCTTGCATGTGTCTATCAGTGAGAAATGGACGCCTGACTGGTCTCGTGCACGCGAATCCTGCAGCTCTTAACCTCTTAAACCGGTTTCATGCATGAAGTACAGTCTTTGCTTATAATCAGAAATGTTGGATTTAGGCTTGATCAAAGGCTAATATTATATCAGACAAACAAAGTATGCAAAGAAGACTAAAATTTTGTAAATTTATCATATGAACAGGTTGTGAAAGCAATACATTTTGCTTATAATCAGAAATGTTGGATTAACAGTATTGGCTGCAAATTCTAGATATACTTTTTTGACCTGGTACTATTCCATACCTTCGGTTGTGAAAAATTGTCTGTTTAGGAAGAAGCAAAATTACATTCAAAGGATCATTTCTCTTGTCCTATAATCCAAACAGTGTAATTTGTGGTGTAAGTTTAATTCTTATTCCAGCATCAGACATAAGCCATTCTTCTATTTTCCTCCACAATCTTTTTATCAAGTTACAGTCCCAAAATAGGTGCAAAATGGTTTCATTAGAAGTATTACAATAGCTCCGCAATGATGTCACTGACTTTTATTTTATGTAAGTAATAGTTTGTGGCTAAAATATTGTTAATAATTTTCATTTGGAACCATCTTAATTCCGTACTCTGTGTACATCTAAATGGTATAATGTTATACGTTCTCCAATCTGATTCATCAATGTTAGATTCAAGTATGGTTTCCCATTTTAGATTTTGGGGCTGATTTCTTGAATATTGACGTGAGAAGAGTGATATAAAACAACCTGCTACCATTATCAGAACCTAACAGTTTATTAATGTAGTAATGTATTACAGGCAATTCTAATGATAAGTGGTCTGAGTTTAGGGTAGCGAAATCATAAATTTTCTGTTGGTATTTCACAGAGCTGATCAGGCTTCGATAAGATAAAAAGTTGGCATTGCACTGAAATTTGGCTACAAATTCATTAAAATGAGGTCCAGTATTTTATCAAGGTAGGAATCCATTCAAACACTTTTAGTATAGAAAACGGCTGAGACATGGTGATAAGCCGATGACTGCAGTAAACTTTGTCATCTGGTTTAGCCAATCCTTCGTCTGTTAATGTTGGAGAAAATGGCTTAGGATATCAGCAACAACATTTATAAGTTGGATTCAAACCATCAGTGGACGGTGGCAGAGCTCAATGAAGACAACTCAATGAACCCTCCACGACTATCACCATGATCACACCCTGGACCATCTGGCCACCCCAGTCCCATCTAAATTCTAATACTGATCATAGAGAAGAAGTAAAATGACATCTGTCCACTTGAAGCCTTGAATAGTTTGGTTTAATGCAATTTAAAGTGCCATTTATGAGGGAGAAAATCTCCAAATGGCAAAGGGCATTGACCTAAAACAGTTCAGAAAACAGAAATATAGGGTTATGGCTGGCTACAGATCATCATCAGAATCAGATCTTATCTGAGTTAGGTCAAAGACCTATATACGATTGACAAAAACATGATCAAACCCTGGTTCATATGAGTACAAACAGAACAGCATGTGAGAAAGTTGACAAACAATATTCCTCTATATGTATGCGCACGCTGGAGTGAAGACATAAATTCATGACCATACTTCAAAGTCAATAACATCTGGAATTGAAGCAAATGTCAAGAAATATATAAACAAAGTAGAATTCAAGCCATGATATCAGATATCACCATGCCAATGTTCGCTGTACAAAGAACTTTCTGATATAAACATCACAGCCATAAACCGGATTTACAAGTTTTACAGTCAGGGAGTGTAAACCCTGATAACAGGAAATATTCCTGACATAGCCTTCAATGTTGTTTCTAACAAACTGATTCCTAGTTAGCCACTAATCTCATTCAACATAAAACTAACACCAGTGCGTATATTGTTTGTCAAAACCAAACCCAGTCATATTCCAGTGCAAAGTCCAGCTGAAATAACAACCAGTAATACTATCTTACTGACATCACATTGAAAAGTCATTGGACTGAGCTGCTAAATTTCTCTAAATGATTCTGGAATTGCAGAAATCCTGGTAAAGTCTGTAGCTCTGAAGCTGCTGACACACCAAGCACAAGCCCAGGCTGTTTGGATGGCCCCTTCTCATGACATCGAGACAAACAGCTGAGGTAGTTTTCTTATGTGTCAGTCTTCACACATGTTCAAGATGTCGTATTCAACTTCAGCTGAGAAAGTCTTTTTCAAATCTAGATGAGTTTAGTTTTACGCCGCATTTAGCAATATTCCAGCAATATCACGGCAGGGGACACCAGAAATGGGCTTCACACACTGTACCCATATGGGGAATCGAACCTGGATCTTCGGGATGACGAAGAAATTTCTACAGTTTATAACCTAAAATTATAAACATATTAATAGGAATTATCATGATGCTTGTGTCATCCATAACATTGTACCTGAACTATTGTGACAAAAAGGTTTTAATGCGCTCACACAATACTTAAAGGTATGTCTTTATTCATACGCTGCTTCTAAATTATGTTCAGGACGCTGTTTTGTTAGTAATCCATCCATAAATGTCGGTCACACTCACCACTAACTAATGATTATGGATCTCTATAATCTATATTGATAGCCAGGACTACATGCTAAGAATTCATATGACTAAAGGTGTGTTTAGTGAAATAAAACCACAAAGCATCTCTAAAGCTCACCTGACTAATGAAGTTCTTTATGATATAATGGCACTTACAAATGCACAACCAATCCTCATCCACATATCTGTAGTGAGTTTGGCACTAATGACGTAAGGTAAATTACCACAATAATCAGATCATGGTCTTTGATAGAGTCTAATCATTTAGAAAAACAATGAAACATTTTTAACGGTTTTGATTATGTAAATATTTAAAATACTCACGTTTCAGCTTCATCAGTCCAAAAGAACATATATAGGAGCAACAGCTCTCTCAACCACCAAAGTCAGTGTCAGGGTTATTGGGGTCATGAACTGGCTTGATGCTCATGATGTTTATCACAAGACAGTCTCATCCAGGAAATAACAATGATCACTGCATGCATCTGTTTCAGAAGTCCTTGACAACACTCAAATGTCTCTACTACAAGACCGAATACTGGCTGCAACCCAAACACATTAAAAGAAGTTTATCTTGACAAAACAATTAAATACACTTCTGCATAAATGATTTGTTGTTGAAATGTTCTACTTACTCAGGGTCTTATTTTCACTCAATACAAATAAACACTTGGGAAAAGTTAAAACCAATCTTCTCGTGTTTCTCTATTTCAATATTTTGCTGGCAACTTCCAAGTGGCACATAGTCCAGACAACGCTAGTCTCAATTCACTACAAACAGGTTGAATACATGAATGCTGAATTAAAAACTCCTACAGGTAACAGATCAGTAACTGGTATGTGTTTTCTGTTCAAGAAGTTTCTACCTCTGTCAAAACAGTGTATGATGTTCGGCGTTAAACAGTATTATTTTTTTCATAGGAAATTTTCATTCCCGTTCCTGGGTCATGGCAAAAGCATGGCCTTTCAGTTTTATTCAGCACTGACAATAACCACCAGCTGTCACAGTTGTAGCCAGTGTGCTAAGTAAGATAACAAGTAATCCTGATCATCAAATAATCAATACATTCTCAGGAAAATACTAGCGAGTAGAAACCTGTAACATCAGCAGCAGAATGTTCAGGGGGTTGAAGTAGGCGTCTACTTCAATGACAACACACGTCATGTTAGTAGTTCAGCACAGTGGTGTCTTGGCGATATTTTTTACAGATCAATGTAGTCAAATGAAGGGATATCTTTACAATTTGTGATTTCAGCTGTTGACTGTTAGAATTTGACATCAATACAGGAAGCAGAAAACAATGAAAAAGCAATGAAACGGTTAAATCAAGTGATCAGCTGATCAGAATCTACACTGTTGACGTTGATAATTATATGGACATATCTCAAGAACTTCTTATCAATCCTTCTACTTCTATTAGTGACAAAAAGAGTTAAAAGTAACACAGTTATTTTGCATAAAAGAAAAGTTGGAAATGAGCTCCAAACACAAGCTGAATACAACATTACACAGTTAGGAGATTCTGGCTGCTGAGGTATGCTGCTACAGAACGTAATACTATAAACAGCATTTGAATGTAAGGATCCTATACTACAGTATTTGAATGTAGAGACCATATAAACATGGAAGAAAATGCTTCAGGTCACGAAGAGGATCCCATGGTTCAGCTTGAACACTGCCTTTGGTCAGCAGATATTGAAAGCATGGCATGTTCAGATAAGCTCTTACAAAAGTCTTAAGTGTATGTATGTATATATTTTTAAATCATCTTTTAAAAATCATCACATTTTGTGTTGATCAATACATGGGCTCTCCAAGTTGCCAGTAGGCAGACCATTTTCTATGATGAATCTGTATTCTGTTTATCAGCAAGTCTTAAATATTCAGTAGCTTTTAGTCTCAGTACACGTGGCATATCATCAGGTATCTACTGATCTTGCTTTGCCTATTTTTTCACACTAGAACTCGACTCCAGTTTGGGGCCAGTGCATAAGGAGACATGTTGAACTTCATTTATCAGCAAGTAACCACGGTAACAAGGATTCTGTATACCGTATACCGGGAAATTTTCGAGGTATCTAATTTTCGAGGTTTTCGAGGTTAGAAGCGCAACCTCGAAAATATTATATCCATGAATTTATCCGAACTTCAAACCTTTGGGTTAGATTTCCTATCGATAAGCATTTCAACTGCTGGCAACCAATGACTTCCTGACATGCGCATTAACTCTTTAATGCCTGTCTACAACTAATCTTAACGTTCAGTGACCCTGAACGGCCTGAATGAACAAACAACAGAAATGCGGTGTCGAGACTATTTAATTGTGTTGTAATTGTTGGTCCAGAATAACATGCATTATAAAAAATAGGTAATTCAATCAGTGTGTTACATGTAAAGTCAAACCAACTGTCAATACACTCGATGTCACTCTCTGGCCAAACGGACCGTGATCGGGCGATGCCAGGTTTGATGAATGCGCATCTTAAAGGGGATTGTTTACACAAACATCCTGGGGCTGTAAGGCATCCGCAGTTGGTCAGTTTCAAAAGAGGTCAACTTGTCAGCTTTCTAACAACAACATAGTTTCAGCAGAGACCCATCATACATGCTTATAGTTAGTTGTTAAAAAAACAATATCGTCTGAGAAAAAATGGCGTCATGTTTGAACACTGCCGACAGAGTGTTTCTGGGTCATTTATCACAACAAAGGATCAAAGGGTTGTTTTCATTACTATTATTTCTGCCATGGACTGGTATACCGGTAGTTATAACAGTCAGACGGCAGTTATCACTGGCTACTTGTCGATAGTTCACTGAGTATTAATCCGGTAAGTCATGTTTCTGGGCACTTTCTTCTAACCTCGAAATTAAAATTGTCTAAAATATTTATATATTTTAGGCCCCAAAGCCTCGAAATTTAAATCACCTCGAAAGCTCTGGGGGTCTCAAACCTCGAAATTTTAGTACCTCGAAAATTTCCCGGTATACGGTATCAATAATTTTGAGTTGAAATCAGTCAACTACTGTTCCATTTAACTCTATTGAGCATAACTACAAGGCAAGAAGACAATAGTAAAAGATACAAGAAAAATTGAGAGACAAACACTTTGTAAATGATACATTAAACATGTTTACAATTTCCAGTGATACTTTAATATCTTATTAAGGTTTTCTGCTGTGATATATAATATCCTAAGGTAACAAAAAGATACAATGTAATTATCCTTAATGAATTATTAACAATAACCCTTGTGTCTGTGTTCATGTTCAAATGGTGCCATTGTTTGTCAGTAAACTAGCACAAGTGGGCATAGACAGGCACATGGCTATATAATAAGATAAGTGTGATTATCCTGTATACAACATTGCCATACAATAAGTCATACATGGGGATCACTTGACAAATCTAGAAATGTCTCTTGACTTAACAATTTCATCAAAATCAGGTCTGTTTATTATGATATGACACCTCTCCACAAGGAGACCTGAGAACATCTCTCTTGGTGGTTGGATCACATGAACACTGAGTTTCTTGGGCCATTGTCATCTTTCTAAAATGATTCAACTTCATTTCATCACTTTGATTAAGAATGTTTTATCATTGCAAAAGAAAACCACCACAGCACACAGATAATTCCACCATAGTCCACTTGCTACGGCAACCACAAAGGATATTATCAAATATCCAACAGTACAGCTATATTCCCCCAGTTATTCTTGTTTTCAATGTACAGACATCAAATATGCCTGATTGACTGGATTACTAGGATCAAGAATATTGAAGTATTGTCACAGAGTTATGGTATTGCCAATATTGTAAGCCAATGGGAAATATGATTTATCTTGACTGATGAAATCATAAAAAAGGAAGGTATTTATCAATATCTTAAGGACAGAAGCCCCTCAGTAACTTAGACAATACAGAGCATAGTCTGGTACAAATGAGGAAAGATAACACTGACTGTTTGGTAAACATATCCTATAGCGGCCCTGATACTGGTCTATACAGTTCACCAGAATGACCATATGCGGCTCTAAATAATCACTCAGTATTGTAGTATTGACAAGCTGCATAATATGGTGAAGGTCTATCCAAGTGTTGATATACTTTTGTAATCTCTTATTAACACCAATTTTACCATGAGTTTTGTTTTTCATGTTTAACCATATTTTCCAGTAAATCTGAACAAGCAAACAGCTGATGATATAAACAAGGAAGTCATAATGCTCTACCGTGTGACTAAACTGACACTCACAACTAAACAATACCAATGACCAATGATTATATAGACTGTCATGACCTTTATGATATTTGATGAACTTGAGGGTATGAAAACCATTCTTACAATACCAAACTTACTTATAAATAGAAAATTACTCATCCTTTTCTTCTAAGGTTCATTTTGGAAAACTACAGCAACAAGAGTAAAATCACTGGATCCTTCATAAGTAAAGTTAAGGCTAATATACTGAACAGCAAAAGAAACGCAAGTCTGGCTTTTTGTCAAGTTTTTGGATAGAAAACCACCAAAAGTATGTCTAATCATTTATTCTATAGAAAACACTGTCAATTTAACAGCTGAAAGGTACTGTTGACATTGAACTGCAATAAGTTGAAACTGATCACAGTCCGTCAAATGGAGATACCCCTGAACCCGAAAAGTGAGAGTCTCTTTAGTAGCGTATAGCCACCTTGAGCTTGCACACAGACTGTGCAATGTCGCCTCATTGAGTTCACTAGAGTCTGAAAGAACGCCTGAGGCAATTGGTTCCGCTCAAACACCCATCTCTATTCCAATTGTGCAAGTGTGAGTGGCTGTCTACATGCAGCAATCCTCCGTCCAATTTCGTCTCAGAATGTTCAATGGGAGCCATATCCGGGGAAAGAGACATCCATGGAAAAACGTTAATGTTGTTCTGAGCCAGATAATCCATCGACACCCTTGCTGTGTGAGAGCTATAAACGTCGCTGGCGTTGTTGACGTGTCAAAACTGGCCCCACATATGGCCTTCGGCAGTGGATTCCAGCAGCCCGAAGACGACGCCTAATCGTATCGCTGGACACTGCTCCCCTTGACCCAAGAACTAAGGCTGCTGCTACGGTTGCTGCTTGAGTTTGGTTCCTTAGATGAGTGACCAGGATGAACCGATCTTGCCTGGTAAGGGGATGATCAGCAGCAACCCCGGTTTGCTGATGACGTTGAGCAAGTCGTGTAATGGTGGTAAGATGACAGCCCAACTGTCTAGCTACAGCAGTTGCAGAGCTACCTCTGTGCAACTTTCCAATGGCCATTCCCCTCTGCTCAGTCGTTAGTCTAGGTATCGTTTATGTGGCATGTACACCTCCTAGCATCAATACTGAACTGTTTTTTGACACAAACCTTTACAAAGGATACCTCAGAGTGAAATGCATGCTTTCCATCCAGAACCATCGATGCACATGCTAAAATTATGTTTTTTGTTGCACTGTTGGTGTGTTTGTGCGAATGTTTCGTATGGACGTCACACTGCATGACATCATCTCATCTGGGATTGTTACGTCACTTTACCATGAACATTCCATAAACATGAACGTTTACCTTCATGAGATTTAATTTTTTTAAAACTTGCATTTCTTTTGCTGTTCAGTATATTATATGTTACAGTCAAACCTTAAATTCAATCAACGTGTAAACATCGTAAACTTTTTGGTGTCTTTACAAACTGACAGACATGTGTCTACACATTAGTCCCACAAAACTCTTCAGTCCCATATATTTATTACATGGCCAGACACTATGGAAGCCCAGTTTTCTCCAATTGCAAATATTGCTTTGCATGATGTAGTGTGTCTGTCTTAGTCTTGATACTGAAAAGTAATCTTATCAATAAAGGTGTCTGCTGTTGAATTTCAAACACATAAATTTCTTACTATCACAAGTGTGCAAGTACAAATTTCAAATATGCATATTTGGTTTGCATAAAAAGTTAAATATTTTGAACGCTTGATGTCTTCCAAGTGCTCTTTGGCAGAATATGCAAAGACTCTGACAGTCCCACACACAATCATGTCTACTGTTTTACTATTTGATGGTGTGTTTTGTCTGCCAAAGCCTGCTTCTTTCTGGGTATGTATAGGAGGGATTTGTAGCTTTGTCTTAGATAGACAAACAGCTGCATGATAGTACAAGCCAAGAATCACATAGCTACTACACACAGCTAGGGTAGTATAGCCAATAAAGTCAAGTCATTCTAAACACATGAAATTTGAAGATTCTAATATTTAATAGCTGTGGCATCAATTTTCCAGCAATAGCTTCTTTCCCATTTTGTGTATTGGTTTAACATCTAAAGTACTAACAGTACAAACAATGTTGTCACACATCATTAACTTGAAACATGTGAATCAGTGATACTGACTTTAGTAAAAGACTTGTTCATACTGACTGCCTATAATCATTTGATAATCCATAGTTTATATAAAAGCCAAAAGAGTGAGTGAGTGAGTTTAGTTTTACGCCACACTCAGCAATATTCCAGCTATATGGCGGCAGTCTGTAAATAATCGAGTCTGGACCAGACAATCCAGTGATCAACAGCATGAGCATCAATCTGCGCAATTGGGAACGGATGGCATGTCAACCAAGTCAGCGAGCCTGACCACCCGATCCCGTTAGTCACCTCTTACGACAAGCATGGGTTACTGAAGATCAATATTCTAACCCGGACCTTCACGGGTCAAAACCTAAAAGAACACAATTTACACATATACTGGCACTGGGGTGTGACAACCTAAGTAGGCATATGGTGGTCACATGGACCCCTCTGTGTGTGTGTGTGTGTGTGTGTGTGTGTGTGTGTGTGTGTGTTGTGGTTTTCTTCTGAGATTAGGCACAAACCTTTTACATGATTCAAAAGTACATGGGTACATAGTACTATATTAGCAGGATAAAAGTGAAGTTTACTGGGCACAGTTAATTGCAGTGCTAACAGGCTCAGGTTGTCAACAGTTGCTCTCACATGAATCTTCAATCCTTAGTGCTAGCTGTACTATGTCCAACTCTATGCTTATCCCTTGGATCACGTTTAAGCACCAATTCACAAGTTTAGTTTTACGTCACTTTTAGCAATATTCAAGCAATATCATGGCGACTGACACTAGAAAATGCTGTATGGGCTTCAAACATTGTATCCATGCGGGGCATCAAACCCAGGTCTTTGGTATGACGAGCTAACGCTTTAACCACTAAGGAACCCACCAACCACCACTTGACGATCATTACAATTAGGTCCCCCTTTTGAGTCAAACGCCCAATTATGCTTCTTTGCAAAACTTTGCTAGTCAAATACCCTTTGACAATCCTTAGGTTAAGGCACCAATCTAGGGTGATTTGGGTTTGCTGTGAGGTAGGACATTGGTCAAATAGCACTTTTAACACATAAAGCCAACACAATTTGAGGAAATTGTACATTTACATCAAATTTTTAGTTTCACAGAGAAAATGGCTACTGCATATACACAGAAAGGCAAACAAATAGTACCGATCACTTGGCGAACAAGCACTGATTATTTGTGATTGCACCCATTGTCTCAGGGTAGGATGTTGGCTAACTGAATAAATTCATTTGCCTAGCTCTGTGTTTCCACTGGCCTTTCTTTACAGCTGGACATTGTGACTGGCTAGCATTTTAAATACTGGTCATTTGTAAATTTTACCGGTCAAGTGATCACACTTTTCATTGTGCGCGAGACCTTGCACCCTCGCATCCAATCGAAAATGAAGAGGCTATTGCCACTACTTTTAGCATGGAGTTTTCCCAAACTGCTATTTTTTTATTTAACAACACCTCAATGTCATTGTGAAAACATAATCGTTTTCGAGGAGAAATAAAATTGACCAAGGTGATTAGAAAATTTATTTTAAAATTTGCCAGACAAGATGACTGACTGCCTTTGAAATTACCGGACATTCTAACTTTGTACCAGTCAAAGTCTGGTATATACTGGAAAACGGAAACACTGCTAACTTTCTTTCAACCTGACAACTTGTGTTCGGTGCCTGAATCTGATAAAGTGCTCTACTCCCAATAGTAGTATAAGCAGGGGTTCAAAAATCCCATCGCCCGACGCCGGGACAAGTCAGTTTTCATTTCGAGGCGATCAAACAATGGTGGCTACTAGAAACTTTCTGCTTACGGTTTCAAACTGCAAATAAACTTGGATTTCATTTCATATCTGCTCAAAATGTAACTATTAAAATTTGACACGATACGAAGAACGAAATGAAGTAATTTTCGCAATGATAATAAATAGATTTATCTTTCTTTGCTATTTATCACTTCTCGATACACATTAACATCAAATACCATGTTGATTTATTCTTTCATAATTACAGCATCATGATTAAGTCATAAAAATCAGGGCAAGTGGAAAATTAGTCAGGACAAGTTACTTTCTTAAAATCACTTGTCCTGTGGCAAGCGGCCTTTAAAAATAAAATTGAACCCCTGTATAAGGTAGGTATGCAGACATTAACCCCTTCTGCATCTGTGACAGATGAAGTGTCAACATCAAATAGAAGACATGCAGTCAGATGGCAGACAGTCAGATTATGACATAACAGTTTCTTTTAAAATTACAAATTTCTCTTGATCATATCATTATCGAAAGATCTGGGTGATGACACTTTGACTGTCGATACCTCTCCTCTCTGTGTAGAGGTTTGTATATATATATATATATCTGTGTTCTTGACGTTTACACTCCAAATGTTCCCTGTTCTGAGTTCACTCGATTGTGTATTTGGGTCAGTAGAACTGTAATATACGAAGTCAGCAGGTGTAGTTAAGTTTGAAATGTTAAATCTGAAGTTAAATCCAATTATTCAGGATCCAACAGAAAGTATCAACAGACTAACTTACCGTGTATACTGTAGCCACGAGATTTAAACATTTCGATAAGTTTACTGTCAACGCCATGTAATAATCGCTAACCAGATGAAGAAGTGCAATTGTTCTCAGTTAGCGATCATATTGTAATCTAATGAATATATATGGATTTTATCATATTCAATATTATGGTAAAATTAAAAGAGGTGCATTGTTTGAAAAGCAAGGCCCTGATATAAGTTTTTCGAAAAGAAATATTTTGGTTAGAGGTTTTTGCAGGTGCCCGGAAGTGAGCAAAGGGGAACAACTCTCTATAAATGTCGCCGTCAGCGTTACTAAGCAACTGAAAAGCAGGAACGAGCATGCTGGCTCTTTTGTGAACGTTAAGTTCGTTCAGCGCTCGAAAAGTTATTTTTCTCGTATCGTAACATCTGCAAAAGCAATGGATGGTCTAGGTACTATTACGTGGTGGGGATTTAGTCCCGCAATCGACTTTCAGGATTCTGATGTTGGAGCGTTGATGAAGAAAACATCGTTACAAGATAAAGATACAAGTGATGTGGTGAATATTTTGTTAGTTGGAGCTGGAGACATAAGACACATACTGAAGACAATTGCTTACAGGAAAAGACACAAACACAGGAAAATAAATATGTTTGTATGCGAGGCAGCTTTAGAACTCTATGCCCGTGATATTCTACTTATGGCAGTAGCCCTTGAAATGCAAGACAGAATGGGCTTGCAAGAAAAGAGTGAGCTATTTCTGGAATTGTATGGAAATGTTCTTATAAGGGAACAAACGATGCAGTACGTCCAGAAAAAGGCCAAAGAATTCATCAAGATGGTGACAGATTGTGACTATTTGGATGAAAAGCTTCCAGTGTTTGATTTATCACAGCTCAAGTTCAAAGAACGAGACTTCCTGGAGGGTATCTTCAAACTGTGGCAAAATACAAAGTTCACATTTGATGTTTCCAAATGCTGGGATTTGAGATTGCGCCAAAACTTAAAGACACGGTATGACACGAGAATGAATGTTTTTGATTGGGACTATAGCATGGAACTCATTGAAAGAGGCGCTGATGTTGTGAATAAGTCGGAATATCAGGCCTGGAGAAACACTGGAGTAGCCTTCCAGTTCAGGGAGGGAACTTATGACACTCCAAATAAGACCATGGCATCTGCCCGTGTGTTCGACCATCAGGGAGAAAAGCATGGGAGGATGGGCTACTGGGGAGACATTATTGTCAGTCCGTACATTTCACTAGGAATTGAATCAGAAGAACAGTCTTTATTCAAAAAGTATAATAATTTGTACACAAAAACTGCTGAAGATGTTTCCCAGTTCAATATGCAAGCCATGCTGCATGAACTTGCAACAGGTGAGAGGTACAAGCAACCAGTGAAAGAAGAATCCAAACAGTCATCATCTGTAAAATTGACCGAAATTACAGAAGAAGATGAAGAAGAAAAAGAAGAAGAAGAAAATAACAGTGAGAAAGAAAAGATGGCATCCTCATCACAACATGACCTTCCATATGAAGCCATTCCCATTGATGATGTCAAGGTCACCTTCTTACCACTAGGCCCTCTGAAGGATCATCTTGTTGCCAAGAGCAAATACCAGAAGTTCTTTGATGTTGTGTATTTCTCAAATAGTATGGTCCACCAGCTTACACCAGATGTCAGCAGAATATTTGCTAAACAATGTACGGTTATCTTAGAAACTGCTCAGTTTATGCTTGAAATTAAGAAGGAACAAAGAGAAGAATTCCTGAAGAAAACCACATCAATGGCTAAATCAGCAGGATGTGAACACATTGAAACAGTAGGCTGCCAGTCCAGTCCTTCACGAGGCATCTTTACAAAGGTAGTGAATGATAAAGAGATATTCATCAGTGGTCATCTTCCATCCAGTGCAAAATGCCTCAAGCTGACTTAAGTTGCAATTCACATATCCACTAAATGGGAAACATACCCATTTAACAATACAAATGTGGTGGAATCTTGAACTGCTTTGTATTCTGACAAATAACAGAGGAAGGTGCATGTTCATATTGTAAGTGCATTTGATTAGATGACTCTTTGAAAACAGCAGGAACTCTCTGATCCATGCAGCTCAGCACAAGCCGTTGCTTGAGAAGTATCATAGAAACTCTCGCCCCAATGTGTCTAAAGTAGACCAGACGATCAAGGATAAAGGTTTGCACAAATTGCATTGAAGACTGTAGAAAAACAGCTCTCCATCATAACTTTTCTTGTTATTGAAAGTAAGAACATTTGTTTTGAAACCTTACTGGGTTTTCTGTCAAAGGTTTTTGTTAAAGAGTGAGTGAGTTTTGGTTTTACACCGCTTTTAGCAATATTCCAGCAATATCACGGCGGTCTTGTTAAACACTTTCATCGAGCTTCACAAGGTGAATATAAAACCAGTTCATGGATTGTTAGTTTTAATTTCCATATTGAAGACAGACTGACATAGTATTGGTATACTGAAATGGGTCAACATCATCCATCTTGTCATGGAAGTGAGAGGTCTTGGTCGCTCATAAATAATTTAATGTGTTCCTGTTGCATGAGTAGGCAGTATGATTGAAATGCTTGATTCCATGTTTGTAAACTGAACCACATTCACATTGCAATAACAGAATGTATTGAACATTGTTTCTGTAATCATTGTTTTCATATCCTAGCATGTGGAAGTATGCATGAAGTGTATTGTTGGGTTAACTGTTTAATGGAAGGGATCATTAAAGACATCAATTGGTTTGTATTTATTCCTTATTTACATCACTTGCATGGAGTTCAAAAGTACTTGGAAATGGGTACCTATGAGACAAAAATGTGACTTATCATTCTTGCACCTCACAGGCAACTCTAGGTTAGGCAGATGTGTACTCTCCAGGGAGACAAATCCATTGACAAGGGTAACCCATGAAGATCTGGGTTAGAACTGATCTTCAGTAACCCATGCTTGTTGTAAGAGGCGACTAACCGGATCGGGTGGTCCGGCTTGCTGACTTGGTTGACACGTCTTCTATCCCAATTGTGTAGATCGATGCTCATGTTGTTGATCACAGGATTGTCTGGTCCAGACTTGATTAATTACAGACTGCTGCCATATAGCTGGAATATTGCTGAGTCTGGCATAAAACTATACTCACTCACTCCCACTGACCAGGGTAATACCAGTAATACAGTGCTTCAGCATGTAAATTTGTATTACTTCTGTCTAAAAACTGGGGAGCAGCTGCAAGCTGAATCAGTAGTATTAAATTAAATCTAATGGTATTTGTATGACTATCTGACTTGCATGGAAATCCACACTTTCAGGTCTTGCAAATATGGGTAGTGTGTGGAACACACTCTAAAGTCAAGCTTTTCGAGAAAATATTAACTGACATTTATAGCCTGTGTTTTAAGACAGTTACTATTATATGGCAAACCAATACATATTCTCTCACTATCATTGCTTGGATAATTGATATTAATTAGATTGCAAATGATTCTGTAGCATTATATATTCTAACCATGCTTTTTGTGCTTTTTTTCATAAACAGAAGCATTTGTCATCAGTCTACATTTTCCCAAACTGGCTGGAAGTAGAATTGTCAGGGATTGTGAACAATGTCACAGATTTCATATTGTCAATGGTTTTGTCAACTGACTTCAAAATGGTTTCAAGTTTATGGAGGAATAAATGCAAAATCTAATGTGTATACTTTGCGTAGAACACCTACATATGTAGAGTATGCACACACAGTTTTACTTTTCTACCTGCATAAACAAACAAAATATTGCAGGCAATTCTGGCTGATTCACCGATGTCCCAAGTGTTGTGATGAACATATTTGATGTATTTGTAGTTTTTAAGCAATCTGTACTCAAAGCCCCCAGCCAGGTTATGCGAAATGACCATACAAGCAGAAATACATGTACACTGTGCTTGTAACGTCCCATGTCCAAGAGCCTTCCACTGCAGAGAATATGTTTCAAGGCTGAGTGAACAAACAAATACTAACAAATAACGAGCTGCTGCTGTGAGAGCTGGCCCCATGTCCTGTGACTGTGTCTTTCTATACTGTGGAGTCAGGTTTTCAACCATCTTCTAGCTGATAACTGTGAAGATCCAGGTGAGAACTGATCTTCAGCAACCAAACTTGTAAGAGGCAACTAAAGGGATTGGACAGTCAGGCTACCTGATTTAATTGACACATGTCATTGTATAACAATTGCACAGATCGATGCTCACATTATCAATCTCTGTATTGTCTGGTCCAGACTCGAGTATTTAAAGTCCGCCATCATATAGCTGGAATATTGCTGACTGCGGCGTTAAACAAAAAACAAACAAAGCATACAAGACTGGATATTACTGATAGTGGAGATGTATCTGACAAGGTATTTTGACTCGGGCTTGTGGTCAGTGTTTCAACTGTGTAGATGTAGCCCACCTGCACAATATCTACCCATGGGGTTAAACAGAATTACCAACCAGTAATAAACAAAGTGGCTATACAACAACCAGTCCTGGTAATTACCACGATTTTATCACTTGCCTCCCGAGTTGAAAAAACTCAAATACATACTTGAGGTGTTGGCATTTATTTCTAACTGACGAAAGACATGTACATGATAAAAAATATACAGTGATTTCAGATTTTGTTAAATGCTACAACATCAACTGACTGCACATAGTCTTCATGAGCTGTGATTGCCTCCTCCAGGAAGTCTGTGCCAACCTGAAACAAGGTATAACATCAAGAGCTCAGTGAAACAATCCAGGCCATCAAAACAAACACTTCAAACATTCATGTGGTGTTTGTTTCATTTTATCATTTTCATTTAACATGAAAAGGAAGATCACTTGGCTTTGAAACATGGCCAGCAATGATATTTATTTCAGCATGAGTCATTTAGAAATGCAATACTAAAATACTAGTATTGCAATATATCCTAGTAATTAGTTCTGCATTACATAGCCATTGACATAAGTAAGAGTTGTTTGTAAGCATGATGACATGCCTATGGTACAAACCCTTTGGGTTGCAGTTTCTTAAATAACTGCTGGCAAAAGCGTTTTGGGGTGTTACGATGTTGTGAGATGGCATATAACATTGGAACTGCAGCTTCTAATATTACTTTCACCATAAAATTGCAGTAATGCTGCAGAGTTTTACAACATACTTGACTATGAAGCATGCTATATCCCCATTATATGAATACATATAACCAATGTGCCAACTTAGCTTTCTGAGCTGTTTGAATGACAAGTCTAAAAACAAATTCAGGGCCAAGGAGAAATCCTATGTACAGTTGGTGACACTAGAGTCTGGTACAAAACGTGGTGAGGTGAAACAGGTTGAATATCAAAACTGTCATGCAGATAAGTGTGTATGGCAGTTTGGACTAGTCCAGACTTATTTCAAGTCTGATAGTGCTTGCCCACCTAGATAACATGCTACTGCTCTACATGCTCCATTCAGACACAATTTACAGACTCCACACTTCCATGTCAGGGAGGTGAGGTGAGGTGAAATGAAATTGGTTTAACGTCGTGCTTGAGAATATTTCGCTCATATGACGACGTGCATGCGTGTGTATGTGTATGTGAGGCTGCTTGTACTAGCCCAGACTTAAGCTGGTTTTATAGTGCTAGCCCACTGAGATACCATGCCGCAGTGAAGCATGAATACCCCACTCAGACACATTATACGGACTCGAGCCGACCAGTTCTTGTTGTACCCATTAATGCCGAGCGCCAGGCAGGGATCAACAAGTACCATATTTTAACGTCTTTTGGTATGACGCGGTCGGGGATCGAACCCGCGACCTTCCGCTCTCTGGGCGGACGCTCTAACCACTACACCGCGAAGGCAGTCCCGTGTCAGGGAGAGTCATGGCAAGTGCCATCATTTACAATCTCTTGTTACCTTCCTCCCTCAGGGCACATATTCTTTCAAAACAAAGGTTTGTTGGCAAATGGGTTCTAGGTATCTTAAAACAGTGACAAACAGGAAAGAAAGGGACAGCCAGACACGTACCTTGTCGTCTTCCACTACACACATGATCTGCAGTTTGTTGATACCATACCCAACAGGTACAAGTTTGGCTGGAACACAAGCAGGAGATGACACAATAAGCACAAGCAACACTGATGGATTCTTCTTACCATGTATGATGGTAAATTATGCCTCCAACATGATTAAAGTGTTAATGATCCTGTCTATCACATTTGTGGAACAGCATTCTGACTGTAGGCAAGAGTTCCAGTCGCCTCTTATAATATTATTCCAATGAATCACAGCGTGTGAGCGGAATGTGAGAGGAATTGATGGAGGTCCTTGACATTTACCACAAACATGCAGAGCCAACAAGTATAGTTATGGTGATGAAAAACCTATAAATATAAACAGGGTGAAGAGGGATTGATACTGACAATCACTGGTATCTGGTGTGTCCAGGGGAGGCAACTCTGTACAGCGAACTGCACCACCTTCCAACAACATGCCCTCCCTTGCACCCAGCAAATGTTCCAGGCTGATGTCTTTCAGCCATTCCCTTACTGTATATCAACCTCTCCTCCTCTTAAAACATATTATAACAAGACCTTTTTTCCCACAATTAACTTGTATTTCTTGTATAATTTTTCTACCACAGAATGAAAGAACTCACAATAACATTAGGATAAATTTCAAGTTAATAATAAGAGAAATCAGTCTGAGGTTGTACCGTCATAATAGCAACAAATTATTAAATTACTGTAGTGAATAACAGTGAGTGTGGTTTTAAGCAATATTCTGGCAATATTTATGCATCCGTAATGGGCATATAAACGGAAAGCAAACCCTAGTTTTCGGCATGATGAGCAGACACTCAGCAACTAGGCTATCCCAGCAACCCGCTTTCATCAATGAATACAAACTGAGATATCTCAACTTCATGGAAAACATCTTAATTGATTTTGAGAAAAACTTCCTAAAAACTATGGTCATGTATTGGTTGGACACAAAATGGCGGTGTCTACTCACAGCTGCCCCACTTGAGGCCATCGGTGGACACCTTGCGAACCTTCTGCTCCAACTCTTTCATGTCTGTCTCGTCATCCCACGGCTTCACCTCAAGGATGATGTTACTCTTGGCGACCAGGGCAGGCTCTGATATATCAGACACACATGTATCATTATTCAATGGTATATTAAGTCTATATCTCACAATAATCAGTCTCAAATCACACCTTTAATTGCAGCTTTTATTATACATACTGTCAAACCTCACTTCTCTGGAGACATGCATTTTTGCAAATATTGTCTTTCTAAACAAATTACTGGATATACAGAAATGAACAACAGGTCTCATAGCCTGTTTCGATGAATACACAATGTCATTTAGAAACTTGTCAAATGTAGCATATGTTATATTGGGGATTACACTTTCTCAGTAAAGTACAGATTTTATTACTTTTGTTGGGTTGAGTCCTACCCAGGATTCGAGCCTACACTCTCATAATCACTAGCCACACAGCCTAATCAGCCAGCTCAGCTTTGACAAACTGGAAGTCGGACAACTGGTAGTCTAGACCATACATAACATGTGTTACATTTCACCACTCAAAACATTCAGAAACAACTGAGTGGGGAATAGCTTCTCAGTGACAACTCTGTTATCATTTCCTTGCATGATTCACAACACGGAGTACAATGAACATCAGCAGTTACATAGTATTTCCCTCCTGTTACCATCACACCAAGTATAAATGTCAGTGAACTTACTGCTTGCTTTCTTTGCTTTGTATGCTGCCACTCTCTCTGCCTGCAATCTCTCCTTCTCTGCTGCCTGGGGACACACAACACAAACACTGAGGCTTCTTCTTGAAGACCACATCACGCTATTCTTACACTATATGTATCAGTACCTGACAACACAAACACTGAGGCTTCTTCTTGAAGAACCACATCACGCTATTCTTACACTATACGTATCAGTACCTGACAACACAAACACTGAGGCTTCTTCTTGAAGAACCACATCACGCTATTCTTACACTATACGTATCAGTACCTGACAACACAAACACTGAGGCTTCTTCTTGAAGAACCACATCACGCTATTCTTACACTATACGTATCAGTACCTGACAACACAAACACTGAGGCTTCTTCTTGAAGAACCACATCACGCTATTCTTACACTATACGTATCAGTACCTGACAACACAAACACTGAGGCTTCTTCTTGAAGAACCACATCACGCTATTCTTACACTATACGTATCAGTACCTGACAACACAAACACTGAGGCTTCTTCTTGAAGAACCACATCACGCTATTCTTACACTATACGTATCAGTACCTGACAACACAAACACTGAGGCTTCTTCTTGAAGAACCACATCACGCTATTCTTACACTATACGTATCAGTACCTGACAACACAAACACTGAGGCTTCTTCTTGAAGAACCACATCACGCTATTCTTATACTATAATGTATCAGTACCTGACAACACAAACACTGAGGCTTCTTCTTGAAGAACCACATCACGCTATTCTTACACTATACGTATCAGTACCTGACAACACAAACACTGAGGCTTCTTCTTGAAGAACCACATCACGCTATTCTTACACTATACGTATCAGTACCTGACAACACAAACACTGAGGCTTCTTCTTGAAGAACCACATCACGCTATTCTTACACTATACGTATCAGTACCTGACAACACAAACACTGAGTGAGGCTTCTTCTTGTACCACATCACGCTATTCTTACACTATACGTATCAGTACCTGACAACACAAACACTGAGGCTTCTTCTTGAAGAACCACATCACACTATTCTTACACTATACGTATCAGTACCTGACAACACAAACACTGAGGCTTCTTCTTGAAGAACCACATCACGCTATTCTTACACTATACGTATCAGTACCTGACAACACAAACACTGAGGCTTCTTCTTGAAGAACCACATCACGCTATTCTTACACTATTTATTAGTACCTGACAACACAAACACTATATTACACCATCTACCAGGCTACTATCTTACACCATCTACCAGGCTACTATCTTACACCATCTACCAGGCTACTATCTTACACCATCTACCAGGCTACTATCTTACACCATCTACCAGGCTACTATCTTACACCATCTACCAGGCTACTATCTTACACCATCTACCAGGCTAGTTACTATCTCATGTAGTTATCTTACACCATCTACCAGGCTACTATCTTACATCATCTACCAGGCTACTATCTTACACCATCTACCAGGCTATCTTACACCATCTACCAGGCTATCTTACTATCTTACACCATCTACCAGGCTACTATCTTACACCATCTACCATCTCTTACCAGGCCAGGCTACTATCTTACACCATATCTCTACACCATCTACCACCAGGCTACTATCTTACACCATCTACCATCTACCTTACATCATCTACCAGGGGCTACTATCTTACACCATCTACTACTACTATCTTACACCATCTACCAGGCTACTATCTTACACCATCTACCAGGCTACTATCTTACACCATCTACCAGGCTAGTTATTATCTCATGTACCAGGCTACTATCTTACACCATCTACCAGGCTACTATCTTACACCATCTACCAGGCTACTATCTTACACCATCTACCAGGCTACTATCTTACACCATCTACCAGGCTACTATCTTACACCATCTACCAGGCTACTATCTTACACCATCTACCAGGCTACTATCTTACACCATCTACCAGGCTACTATCTTACACCATCTACCAGGCTACTATCTTACACCATCTACCAGGCTACTATCTTACACCATCTACCAGGCTACTATCTTACACCATCTACCAGGCTACTATCTTACACCATCTACCAGGCTACTATCTTACACCATCTACCAGGCTAGTTATTATCTCATGTAGTTATCTTACACTATTTACCACGCTACTAGCTATACCATCCCATACACTGTACCATTCTACTTTACACAACCTAACAAGTTAATATCCATCTGATGAAGTCTTACTAAATGACAATATACCAAGTATATTTCTGGGCACAAGCTGCTAATCTCAAAAGCAACCAGGAAAGTGTTCTCTTGATTAAATATGGCATGTGCTCATTGAAGATGCTATCACATGCTGCAATGTCAGGAATACTATTTCACTGAATGCATGAGTTCATACCACAGAAAACTAACATCTCAAACAAAGCTGTATGCCATGTTGCTGATCGATGCTGACATCCTGATGAGGCGGTGGATACAGCATGTGTAATACGATACTATTGTACTGCAGTGCACACAACATTGTTACATTTGTAAAGTATTAAAAATAGCCTCAAGAAGTAGATAAAACTTCTTGCCAGAAAAACAGAAAGAAAGAAAGTCAATTTCCAAATATATTCAAAGTCATTAGTTCAAGGCTAGACTATTTCTAGACAGTATCTTCAAGAAATATTGAACAATCCCTGAGTAATGCTCCAGAAACAAAATGTGACGAGCTGACGGAGAGGAAGAGGGACAGCAGCCATTCCTGTATCCCCCTCCCACTTCCTGGGACGGCATAAAGAATATTATTCCACAAACCTCTTCTTCATCATCACTTCCAAACATATCAAAATCATCATCATCGTCATCATCGTCATCAGCAGCAGCAGGCTTGGATGGTTTTGCTGCTGCTGCAGGTGCTGCTGCTGACGCTGCTGGCACGCCAGCTCCCCTCTCCAAGGCCGACACTCGGTTCTCCAGCTTCAGGACCATCGCACGCAGTTCATCAGTAACTGGGGGATGGAGTTAACACAAACATTATACACGGCTCTTCATAACAACAATAATGCTCATGGGTTAATGAATTATGTGTTGGCAGGGTTCGAAATACCCCATATATTAGTGTGCCATGGCACGGTAAATATTGAAATGGCACGGCTAAAAAATGTTCTCGGTGCCCTTTTGACACTCCTGATTTTTCAGAGACATAACTCACATTTAGTCATTTAATCCCCAAAACAATTATTTTTTTCCAAATTGAATAATACCATACATATTTGAATGCTCATAAACCCATTTCTTTATTTAACAATAAATTTCAAATGATCATCATCATTGTCATTTATTCTAAAAACATGTGGGCATACTCAATTTCTGAAAGGCACACCTAAAATATTTGCCTGGTGCGCTAAGGCACACTTAGAAAAAAAAGTATTTCTATCCCTGGTCGGCCTTGCTGTCAGGACACCCCAGTGGCAACAGCAGTCTATCCTGCTCAGTAGTGGCCACTTCCTGGTAGTAAACCCTGGTGGGTTGCATGTCATACCCAGACAGATTGGACATGTATGCCAGAGTTCAGCTTTCTCTGGTATGTAATTTCAGAGAAGGTTTCAGAGAAAGTTCCAGAGACAAAAATGTAAAGAGATAGAATATAAGAACATGACATTTTGAGCAGGAATGGTGAACCAATAAATAATACTTTTAAAAAGCTTTTCAGTATACCAAATATAATTAAACAGCAGTGGTGGCCATATCAAAAGTCGGATGCAAGCTCTTGATCAAAATATGCTATCAGTTTGAACAAGTATGTATTGACACATCAGCATTGGTCAAGTGGTTTCAGATGATTACACCAGAGGCCAAACATTCAGTCCATGACATAAGCTCACTCGACTTGTTATCAGAGGCATACACAACAGCATGTCGTCCTACCTTTCCTGAGTTCCCTGTTTTCACGTTCCAGAGAGTCCATTTTTCCAGGTGGCGCACTTCCACCTCCACCTGTAATCTGAAAGAAAACATCACATTGTATGAGGTACTGACTCCATCACCAAGCTTAGCACTATTCTGACATCCTGCAGGGCGGAGTATCATGCAGTCAGGTAGATATATTTATTCCTAAAACATGCCACAGGCATTTTCTTATTCCAATAAGGTATGGTACGTAGGTATCCATAGTAGTCTCAGCTTCAAAATAGGGATGTGACGAAGATTTATATCAGCATAGCTGAATGCTTGTACTCTATAAGCTTGACTGTAGATAATCACATTTCTGATTATCTAATTTCAAAGTCATATGTTCAAACTTGCTGCGAATAGCTGCAAAGTTGCTGATGCAGCATTAAGCAATACCCACTCAAATGGTCAATCATTCAATAAATGTATTAAGAGTTACACATAAAAACACTCATCTGTATTGTGTTCAACAATGAAACTGTTCCGTTATAGAATAAGACTATGAAAATATGCAGCCAATTAAAATGAGTCATCCCCAACATATATCACAGGGACTGATCCCCTCTGCATGACTATTGAATAAGGTGAGATTCTGAGTGAATGCTGCTTTACACCAGCTATCTTACAGCTACATTAAGTCAGTCACACAGACCACAGGCTGATGATTAGATTGTTAGGTCACGAAGACCCCAAGTCACACCTGTAACCACCATATCCTCCAGATAAGGCTGAGGTACAGGAGATATATACAGGCAGGATTCACACTGAGTCCAGGTAGCACCAGGCTAGTCAATATATAATGAGGTTCTTGTCCCCATTAACTCAATGAACATAAAATATCCATATCACAATAACCTAGATGTTGTTTCTCAAATTGATATTATAATTTTAAAGATGACATTTTAAAGATCACACATTTTAAAACCAAGCGACACTCTCAAACTTCCTTAAAGCTTACTTCAGAATAAAATGTAACATTAACACAGTTATAACTTCAGTCATATCGTTAAAATTAAGATGAGATAATTTTAAATATACTGACACATAAGAAAAGCACACAAACGTTTACAAAGACTGTGTTACCATAGTGTTATGCTGCATAAGAATAGACAAATAAATGTGAAAAGGTGCTTCTTGTGGGCATATATTGGGGAATCATAGAAACCATGGCAGCAAGAAATAATACCATACTACAACTCAGTTTATCATATGCAGAGCAATGCTGGAGTTTGTTAGTGAGATAGGGTTTACGCGGTTTCTTACAATATTCCTGCTATATATAGAAATGGATTTCGTATATGTGGAATCAAACCGGGACCTTTGGTGTGACGAACCACACTGGAACCACAAGGCTTCCCTTATGCCTTAGTAGCAGATGACAATTACATAAGATTATTCAGAACCAACCCTTAAAATCCTCTGTGGGGAAACTAGATCACCAGAACAGCTGACTTATGTCAGACGATGTAAGTGAATCTGAACATGACTGTAGGAACTTGGCGAACATGTGTGGACATAAACTCTCCACCTTGTACAACAACATGCAAATAAGTTAATTTGATCATGCCGTGCTTGTTGCAAAATTGTATGAGAAAAGCTGTGTCTCTAAGCATCAGGGATTGGGTACAAACTGTAATTTGACAATCAAATGACAAACTACATTAACAAAACCATGCAAGCCGATTCCTATTTCAAATGGCATTAGGAAGAGAATAAATGGTGAAATGAACTGGAAGTATGCTGGAAGTGCTGCAGTTGCTGCAGCTGTACATATATTATTGTAAGCTGGCACAGGTAAGTGATGCATGGCACAGGTAAATGATGCATGGCACAGGTAAATGATGCATGGCACAGGTAAATGATGCATGCTTTTGTTACTGACACTGCAAGGCAGGTACACATGTACTAAGTTTAATGACATAGCTCAAGCAGCGCAAGTAAGAAATAAAACTGACAAGGAGTTTTAATGGAATGCTAGAACTCCTCGATGCCCGATAGCTCAAGATCTGGTTCACTCAAACTGTAGTTTCTACATCACTGGAATAACCCCTGTTGTCTGCCGTATCATATACATTTCAAATGATTTCTATTGATTATCATGATATTAATAGAAATAGAAAAACGTTCAAATTATGGAATTAAAGATGTTAAAACATACTACAAATATTCAACCACCAGAGAACAAACATAACAGTATATTTGAAAAAAAGGGAACTGGATGATGGAAGGGGTGTTAAGCTAAAATAATTTCTTGATTTCATAAACTGAAAGAAACCGAACAGGGTTTGGGGGACACATAAATACTGGTACAACAATTAACATCCAACCATTGAAAGATCAAAATTAGAGCTAATCTAAAAGCTGCATTTTTAAATAGGTCAACAGGCAGTAGAGAATAGCAGCACCAACAAAACTGATGTAATAGCCTTCATTAGGGCTTGTTAGGAAACAAGACAGGGCCCTGACCAAGGTTATGTCATCATGTCTTGGCAGACTGTATTTACTCACAGGATTCTGGAGAAGTTTTGATATCTCTTGCCTGGCCTGAGCTATTTCATTTACAAGAGAGCTCCCCCCTTGCTTGCCCTATAAAACATAAGCATTATACACACTGAATAAATAGGTATTTCAATGTATCAGTGAGCAGGGTTATATCATCTTCATATACTTGTATATCAGTTCATTAACTTAGCATAGAAGAACAAGATTGAGACATGGAATTGATACAAATGATGTATACAATATTAAATTGTTAACCATCATTACCATTTATCACCATGTTGAAACTTACTGAATCGAAGTTTTGATCTTATTTGCCATTAAATATATATGAAAGCATGCACTTCTAGTCTTTAACTGGCTTTACATGTTACCATAGCAACTGTACGTTGTACAAAGCGAGACAGTTTACCTGTTGTACATGTTGTACAGACCGTGTGCGCTTTAAAGAATATAAGACAAATAGAAACATTAAATTAGGGAATATGGATGTCAAAAAAATATTCAGTATGACGGAATTAAACAGATGGATACTGCCTGGTCTTCAAAAAGAATAACTGTGGATCTGAAGCTCACCTGATCAAAACTGTATCATACACTGAAGGGAAAGCACTGCATGCAAGCACCTGTGTCTGGACATGCCAAACTCGTTACAATAATCTCCACACTCCACATTTCAACACACTGCCTAATTTGAGTAAATGAATAAACACCAATGCCATCAATAGTTCAGCCAGGAACACAACTTTTTCCTAACCTGCTAGCCAAAGGCAGTCTGTACGATACTTAAGTTATCCCAAGGGATATTAGACATCATGCATTTTAGGGGGGATTTACAGTATCAGTATTTATATACATGACGAACACTTAATGAGTATCCCATATAAAACAAAGCACAGTATGGTAAACATAACATCTTGTATTTGGAAACTTTCTCATAATGGAGAACAGAAAAAAAAACCTTCAAACTCAACACACAAAGTAAGTGTGAACTACTATGCCAACACACAGTGCCACAACAAGCTCAATTGGCCCTGAGGGTCAAATGAGAAAGTGAGTGAGCGAGTTTAGTTTTATGCCGCTTTGAGCAATATTCCAGCAATATCACGGCAGGGGACACCACAAATGGTCTTCACACATTGTACCCATGTGGGGAATCGAACCCGGGTCTTCAATGTGACGAGTGAACGCTATAACCACTAGGCTATCCCACCGCCCCATATGAGGAAGATACTGACAGGTCAGTATATACAACTGAAATGAAACAATGCTAATTCTCAATTCCAATGGCTGATGACAACACACTCTATGAAAACAAGAAAAGGGAATGGGAATGTATGGGAAGCCATATCTAGGAAAAATGGCAGAATAACCCAAACCAGAAACTATTCTGATGACAAATTCAAATGGAGAAATGCCAGCATATCTACTAATAGCCACAAATGTCCAGTTACTACAAAATACCATCATGCGTCTCCTCATTGGTTCAACAAGGTTTAGAAAGGAAAGCGGGAAATCTTTACACATGGTAGTAACCATTACTGTAAACATCTGTATGGATATATTTCTATTCTTAAAAGTAGGTGGATTTGGAAAATCTGGGATCTGTCTTTAAACAATTCAATAATGATAAACTGATTAATAGCTTGACTGCCTTTATCATAAGGTACTGAGAAAAGTAAATCTACTTTGCATTTTATTACCCAAACTCCCCAAATTACATTATCATTTTAGTGAGATCCATGACTTGTCCAAAACATGCCCCATCATAATGACTTATGTGTTTTGTTTAATATCTGAAACATATATTATTGAATTCTGTTGGACGTGTTTGCAAACTAACACATTAAGATTTCATTTGTAGTTATGCCTGAATGGGAAACAACTTATTTCTCTTCATTCTCAATGCTAATAATGTAATATTCTGACTCTTCATTCTCAATGCTAATATACTGACAAACTACAAAATACAAATATTTCTACACACCAAACACTTGTCAAAGTTTATTTCTTCAGGTGAACCGAAATGACAAAGGGCAGCCAAACATTTTCACTGAACAAATGGTCAATGGTTATCTGTTCATCCATGAATCATGCATCTGAGATAAATCATTATCGGAGACCAAATTAGATTGTTTGAACTTTCCTCATTCACAATATATCATGCCCTATATTGTGAACTGTTCTTCAACAGGTTAATCAGATTAGACAACACACATAACAAGATTATTGACATCAACATTTCTAGCAAAAGTTTTAGTTTTTCTCACAAAACCCTAAGGCCTACACACATTCTGAAGACTTAAACACAACTTGAAATAGCAGACCTACTGGTAGTAAATAAGTACTCGGAATATTGGAACTGAGGAGTCAAGGGGCCGCTGACCACTTAGAAACAGAGAGGATGGTTCCAAAACTACAGTTCCTGCCCTGATGATGTAGCTCACCTGGCCGGGGGTTGCGGTACCAGCTAGTATTTGCTGATAGTTGGCTTCTGCCTTCTCAAATTTCTGTTGGTTGAACCAAACAGATTCATTCATCAGAGGACTGGCCATTCTGTAAGACAGGTTTTCACAATAAGCCTTCTTCTACTGAGAAGTAAATACAGCAAAACATTACCATTTCTGTCATCAACGTTTTTCATAGGATCAGAGAAAGTAAGGGCTTCAGATACAATATTTCTATCTGGGATCAAACAAAACATGCAAGACACTCCAGTAACAAATCCATACAACAAACTCAAACAATAGAGTCCCAATCATATTCTAAATAATTCTGTATCTGTTAATGTTTAATAAACACTTTCATAATGTGTGATATTGTTTCCATTGGAACTGTCTAATCCTAGTAAGTTCAGAATTTTCTGATTGACATTTAGCACATAACGGTACACAAGCACCAAATGCCCCCATTAGATATCATGTTTTGTTCATGTGCTGTGTGTGTCCCTCAACAGTGGTGTAATCTCTTTAGTGATCATTTGTCTTGTTTCCTTTACACGTGGGCTGAGTATTCTTTGCACAATCACTGCCATAATCACATTTTTCATGTTAACAGGGTTGAAAATTAATTCAGGTTCTCCAAAGTCCATATATATTAACTGCTAGCTAGCTAGCTGCAAATACCAGTGCCTGTTGGTGTGAGTGGTAGTTCACAGGGAAACGTCTTTCGTGAATCTACTTGTCTTTGACAAGCAGATTGACATTAGTTTTTAACCCTGCTGTTTTAGCATGAGTTATATTCTTACTAAATTTCCATATGTTTGAGGAAAGGTAACTTGGATAGGAGGGACAAGATCAGCAGGGTCACAATTTGTTAAATGTATTTTGTTCATTCATTTGCCCAAGCTGTCTCCTGGTCTGTGACCAGACCACTGTTCACTTAATTGTGCATCTATCCTTGTCACAGCATGTTCAACTGCCTGTTTCCTCAACAATAAGTGAGTGAGTGAGTTTAGTTTTATGCTGCACTCAGCTATATTCCAGCTACATGGCGGCAGTCTGCAAATAATCGAGTCTGGACCACACAATCCAGTGATCAACAGCATGACTATCGATCTGCACAATTGAGATACAATGACATGTGTCAACCAAGTCCGTGAATCTGACCACCCGATCCCGTTAGTCGCCTCTTACGACAAGCATGGGATCATGAAAATATGCAAAACAGTAATATCAGATGGTTTAACTAAAATTAATATCTGAAGTCATTAGACTTAGTTACCAACACAAGAAAAGTAACAAATTGTTTATGGAAATATGAAGTCGTGTGCTAGTGGTAGGTTCATCTCATCTGTTTCTGTAGGCTACAGATTCTCTTGTTCCTGACATCACGAACATGTAACATTAAAGGGCTGCCGATGTCACTGTTTGACAGGGTTATTCCAAGTACCTTAATTATTTCTTCATATGTATCAATTCTGAGCAGGTTTACCCAAAAACTAAACAGTGTGAGTATCCCTCAAATGCTTGACGCAGTAAACTGTTCAAAATATTTATTCATTGAGGCGATTTAAGGCCGAATACCTTAGAATTTCTTCTTAGCCGGCAGGTGCTTCCGTGGGGAAATTGAAAAGGAAGTTGCTTACACGTGCACCCAGGCTCGGGGTGAATAATATTGAAATAATATAACTCATGAGAATATATGTGTGTGCTTCATCCCAATCTGTTTGTTTTAAAATTATAATATACACAGTCACGCGAGATTGTTTTATTTATTGTATTTGCTGCGACACTACAAGGAAGACTACTTCCTGTTAATATGGCGGACAAAGACAAATCTACAAGTATACTTCCCCTTTCGCGGGTTAAAACAATCATGAAAAGTTCACCAGATGTCTCTAGTATAAGTCAAGAGGCACTATTCATTACAGGCAAAGCCACGGTGTGTATAGAATTTTTGACAAACGTGCACCTCAAAGTTCTTCTTAGAGCATCTCCCCTCCAAATGGGACTTCGAAAGGTGTAGTTAAATTATAAAACGGCCACAGAAAAGAAATCAAAACAGCCACTTCCCGTAGTCGATAAGGGAGATACCTAAATGAAACAAGGGCTTCAACGAAAAGCCAAATCGAAATAAGACTCAGTTATATTGCCACATTTGAATAAATTCATCGTTGGATTGTTTTTCGGGCAACAGCCTGAACAGGGTTGCACTCGCGCTATTAAAGGGAAGTCTTGCACCACAAAAGCATTGTAAATACTCGAATAAAGGCGTGTTTTTAAGATATAGGTGGGATTTCTTATTTTTGTAAGTTAATGGGATTATTTACTGTTGTTCATTTGATGATAGAAAAAACATAATTAATGATGACGGGCAGAATTGTTTGTTTGACCAAAGACGTATAAGCAATATACAGAGTCGTGCAAAAAGTACTCGGACACTTGACGTAATTTCCATAGACTTACATGTTAATTTAATGTAGCATAAATAATTTTCATAAAGTTCATTTTCGTAGGATCCAAGTCAAATTTTGAACATTTATGAGGAATCATTTTACCTACAGTCACATAATTTCTGTTTAATTTTCTGTTGTTTATTTATCGAATGGCAACAATTTAATCAACATGTGTACAGTGCCATGAACTCCTCTAACATTGCGGCCTATGGGATTGTAATTATGAGGACAGTTGTTAAATGACTTCCAGAAACATGTAACGCTGTTTTCCCTCTGGTATGTTATGGTATATTATGTGTTTGCATATGGCGTTGAACTATATTTTGTTTGGGCATTCATGTTACAGAAATGTAATAATGGAAAATGTTTCTATGATTACAGGAATTGTTCATTCAGGCACTGGCAAGATTCTCCTTGGAACAGAACAAGGATCAGAGCAGTGTTGAGTACAAAGACTTAGCAGAAATTGTCAACACGGAAGAAACATTGCAGTTCTTACAAGGTAGAACACTAAAGCTACTACCACCATCACAAGTACACCAATTCAGGTTACAAATCTCAGGCAGACAGATAATAAGGGAAATAAAAAATATAAAAATAAAAGACATTTGAAGGACATGGTCAGACAGTGAATTGTAGGTTTAAGCTGCATGAGTGACAGAGTGAGGCACTTTGAATTCATGCTGAATTACGGAAACATTTTGGTTTGTATGGGAAATACCCTTGGTAGCTACAACTTGCAATCTTTTGAGCATATACTGCCCAGTGGTCAGGGACAAATTTGTGTGCTCCATCAGCAGGCAGGATCTTCTGTTTGTAGGTAGGAATCTCAGGTAGTGATTTACCCAGTTACGATTGGTCTGTGGAAATTTTAATCTTGGTGACTGGTTAAGGGTAGGAATTACAGATAATTGTTTGCCCAGTAACATTTCTTGGTCGGCTGAAGTCAAGCCATAGTAACTGGTTGAGGGTTGGAATTTCAGATAACGGTTTGCGCAGTAACAGTTCTTGGTCCGTTGAAGTGAAGTTATGGTGACCGGTTGAGGGTGGGAATCCGAAGTAATGTACAGCTGTGATCCTGTTTGAAACTGGAGCCATTGTCTGTGGTGACTGGTTGTACAATGATATGTTTGAAATATTGTTGAAAACAGCAGAATACCTCAAATATTTCATGCATGATGATTCATTTCAAAATTATCATCCATTTATTATTTGTTTATTCAGACTGTGTATCTTGACATGATTTCCAGAAGATGTTTGTTTTGTTGTTGTGATTATATGGGCTTGTATTAGCTCGGCTTAACCAAAGGACATTTTGCTATATACTTCAGAGGGGCAGTGGTTTAGCCTAGTGGTTAAAACGTCCTCTCGTCAGACCGAAGACCTGGGTTCAATTCCCCACATGGGTACAATGTGTGAAGCCCATCTCTGGTGTCCCCACCGCGATATTGCTGGAATATTACTAAAAGCGGCAGTCACTATATATGTCAGACTAGTTGCGAAGGTTATCGAGTGTTATGTAACATAGCAATCCCCTATGCATCCCCGTATGTTGTAGGTCAGCAATAGTCATATCAGGGATAGAAATACTTTTTTTTCTAAGTGTGCCTTAGGGCACCAGGCAAATATTTTAGGTGTGCCTTTCAGAAATCAAGTGTGCCCACATGTTTTTAGAATCAATGACTGCAGCAAGGATGATGATCTTTTCGGTCATCACTGATATGTCTTCTGCTTAAGATGGCTTTCTTATGTTACGTTTGTTTGCTTTCCCATCACCTTTAATAGCTAAGAATTGTGTGAGAGGTTCACTTTTTTCAATATGTCTAACATACACAATTTACTCTTCACTAACCGAACTATCAGTACCCACAACACTCTAAATGGAAAAACAACCAGATTTCTTTACATCATCCATCATAATTCCAGTGATTTCCTGGGCATAAAAGTCAATAAATGTTTTTGCTTGTTTGTCATTTGCTTAAGTGTTTTGTTTGGGGATTAAATGACTAAAGGTGTGCTATGTCTCTAAAAAATTAGGCGTGCCATAAGGGCACCAAGAACATTTTTTATCTGTGCCATTTCGATATTTACCGTGCCATGTCACGCTAATACATGGGGTATTTCGAACCCTGCATGTGTATTTCTACATTAATTATTTATGACTATTTTCGGTGAACATTTTGTACAAGGTGTATAAGCCTGTTCTTATTGGTCAACAGACATCATCCCACGGAAAATAAAGGCTAAGGAGTATTTCCAGATGTTGAAGAACGGAGACAGTGAAGTGGACACATGATGATCAGATCAGTTAGAACAGAAACATTGTTGATACGTTCCAAGACGACATGAGCTGAAGAAATTGCAAGGCCATGTTTTTGTAATATCACCAACATGCAGATTCCAGCTAGTTTGAAGTATCCAGTAACCATGGTAACTTCATCATGACCCGTGGACATTGCTGCTCTTTACTCATAACATAGAACCTTAGTAGTGTCATGTTGAGGGGTTCAGCTACATTATTCAGTCCTTGTCCAGCAGCAGCAGCAGCTTGTGGCTCACTGTCAGTGACCAGGTTCTTTGTATACTTCCACTTGACATGAGTGAGCTCAGATTCTGTGTCAGCAAGATTCCAACATTATTGTGACTCCTATGGATAACCATTTTCTCCGGCCACAAACCTGTATGAGAAATGTCAGGGCTGTAGATTTAGGAGGTGCTACTAAAGATTAGGGCAAATATGAATGTAGAAATGATAAGATGCTCACACCTCGACCTGTATAACTATAACATGAAATGTGTCAGGGTGATGGCAGCTATAACCTGACCTGTGTCAGGTCTGATCACAGAGCATTGTCTGTTTGTATGTTTCATTTCAAACCTAAATCTACTGGTAATTTACATGACAAATTAGTATTCTGTACATTTTCCAAAACATTTTTGTACTTAGGTGTAGAGTAGACTGAGAATAAATGATTTGAAAAGATTTCTGGATCTTCTTTCTGTTATTGGTGAGTCAGTGAGATAGCCTTGTGGTTCATGGTCAAGTCAGCGAGATAGCCTTGTGGGTAATGGTGAGTCAGGGAGGTATCCTAGTTGTTAATGGCGAGTCAGGGAGATATCCTAGTGGTTCATGATGAGTCAGGGAGATATCCAAGTGGTTCATGGTGAGTCAGGGAGATATCCTAGATGTTCATGGTGAGTCAGTGAGATATCCTAGTGTTTCATGGTGAGTCAACAAGATAGAGAGGTGGTTCATGGTAAGTAGGGTGAGTTTAGTTTTACGCCGCACTCAGCAATATTCCAGCTATACGGCAGCGGTCTGTAAATAATCGAGTCTGGACCAGACAATCCAGTGATCAACACCATGAGCATCGATATGCGCAATTGGGAACTGATGACATGTGTCAACCAAGCCAGTGAGCCTGACCACCCGATCCCGTTAGTCGCCTCTTACGATGCATGGGTTACCGAAGGTTCATTCTAACCCGGACCTTCACGTGTATGGTAAGCAGGGAGATATCCTAGTGGTTCATGGTGAGTCAGGGAGATATCCTAGTGGTTCATGGTGAGTCAGGGAGATAGCCTTGTGGTTTAAGGTGAGCCAGCAAGATAGCCCAGTGGTTCATGGTGAGTCAGGGAGATATCCCAGTGGTTCATGGTGAGTAGGGACATATCCCAGTGGTTCATGGTGAGTCAGGGAGATATCCTAGTGGTTCATTATATGCAGGGAGATAGCCTAGTGGTTCAAGGTGAGTCAATGAGATAGCCTTGTGGTTCAAGGTGAGCAGCAAGATAGCCCAGTGGTTCATGGTGAGTCAGGGAGATATCCCAGTGGTTCATGGTGAGTCAGGGAGATATCCTAGTGGTTCATGGTGAGTCAGTGAGATATCCCAGTGGTTCATGGCGAGTCAGGGAGATGCATAAGTGTTTCATGGCGAGTCATTGAGATATCCTAGTGGTTCATGGTGAGTACATGAGATATACTAATGATTCATGGTGAGTCAGGGAGATAGTGTAGTGGTTCATTGTGAGTCAAGGAGATATATAAGTGTTTCATGGCAAGTCATTGAGATATCCTAGTGGTTCATGGCGAGTCATTGAGATATCCTAGTGGTTCATGGCGAGTCATTGAGATATCCTGGTGGTTCATGGCGAGTCATTGAGATATCCTGGTGGTTCATGGTGAGTCATTGAGATAGCCTTGTGGTTCATGCACTATGGTTTGTTAGCTGGTCCACATGACTATGAAAAATAAATCCTGATAAGGGCATAAAACATGTTGTGCCTCATTTTTTAAGATACCACAATACAAGAGGTAAGGCATTCCTAAAGCAAAATAAGAAGTTTCAGTAAAATGCTGAAATCATATTTTGAAGTAAGCACAAGAATTTGAAAATAGAATGTGTGTTTTATCACAGAATGTTCAGTCATTAACGTAGTTGTAACTATTGCAACTACCAAGATGCATAATGAGATACATACCAGTAGTTATAGGTATACACTTAGCAAGTATAGTTTATTCATGTCCAAGATGCAGAGTGCCCTACCCTGGCAATTAGGCCATCCATGATGTGCGGTACTCCTCATTCCCATATGACCACCTCCATGGTGTAGTGGTTAGAGCGTCTGTCAAGAGTGCGGAGGGTCGATCCCCGACCGCGTCATACCAAAAGACGTTAAAATATGGTACTTGGTCCCTGCCTGGCTCTCGGCATTAATGGGTACATCAAGGACTGGTAGGCTCGGGGTCAGTATAATGTGTCTGAGTGGGGTATTCATGCTTCACTGCGGCATGGTATCTCAGTGGGCTAGCACTATAAAACCAGCTTCAGTCTGGGCTAGTACAAGCAGCCGCACATACACATACACACGCATGCACGTCGTCATATGAGCGAAATATTCTCAAGCACAACATTAAACCCAATTCCACCACGACCTCATTCCCATGCTCAGCTGTGTGACTGCACAGACAAACACAAAGGATAAAACTGCCTTTGGTTGTCAGTACAACAGACAAATGATCTATATAAGACAGCTTCACCTGGTAATAAAAGGTATCATTATGAAACAATTTTCACAGACTCCAAACATAGTTGCTATATTAGAAGTACACCACTACTGGGAGCTTTCATCACAGAAGAAAATGAAGATTTATTCTGATAGGATACAGCACAAACTGGGAAATGTATAATTCATCAGAATGTGATATATTTCAATGGTTTGATCTATAATATGAACTGCCACCAACACAAAGTGGTAAAACAATACACAGTAAGATATTGGATACTCTGGTACTTGCTCCACCATATTCTATTTCACTTTGTGATGTCTTGTATTCGTGTTACGCCACCACAAACACAACAGGATGAGACATAACAGACAGTTCATGACTGTCAAACATATACAACACTATTAGTTTTCAGACCATCAAAAATCCAACTAAAACTAAGCATATTTGTAGAGTAGATATTGATATGGTCTTGTTGAATTTAATACCAATGATTAGTTTCAACTCAATAGTTTTCTGTGTTTACACTGGAGTAAGCTGGTTACCAGTTCAGAGGTTTGTGAGACTTTGAGGTCAAATTTTATTGCATATCATCAGAATATCACAGAATGCCTTGGGCAGAGTGAAAAAGCACCAAGCATAAATTGTTTTCTTTGTGTAGTGTGTTTTTATACATGATAATTATCTTGGATTCAAACAAGGTGCATCAGGCAAAATGGGGGAAAAAGCATAGTTACGTTCCATATTGGAATAAGTATGAAATCCACTTCCTCTGCATTATACAAGTCACTCATGCAAAGATATAACAATAGTAATGATTCTGCTAACCTAGGCCATGAAAGAAGTTCCTACTTTAAAAATGTAACTAATATTTATTGCAGACTTGGTCTGAATATCAGTCTTTGATGATGCCTTGATAAGCCCCTACAGTTATCAACAGCTATATGGGGCTTCATCATTGAACATAGGAGTCTAGCACTTATGCTTTAGGTCAGTGGTCCAGTCATCAATGTGCAGGACACAGAATCAACTATAAGAAAACCTGCCACGAGTTTGGTTGGACATTGGCCTTCATGTGAGTGAGTTTAGTTTTACGCCGCTTTTGTTCTAGCAATATCACGGCGGGGACCACCAGAAATGGGCTTCACACATTGTACCCATGTGGGGAATCGAACCGGGTCTACAGCTTGACGAGCGAATGCTTTAACCACTAGGCTACAGTCAGGAGAATGTTTACACAATGTTCTTTAGTCAGGAAATGTGTGTACAATGTTCCTCAGTCAGTCTAGATGATATATATGTACAATGTTCCTCAATCAATCTAGATTATATATACATGTATGTACAATGTTCCTCAATCTGTCTAGATTATATATATGTACAATGTTCCTCAATCAGTCTAGATTATATATATGTACAAAGTTCCTTAGTCAGTCAGGAGTTTGTATGTACAGTGTTCATCAGCCAGTCGAGATGATGTACAATGTTCTGCATTCTATATGTACAATGTTCCTCAGCCAGTCATATATATGTACAATGTTCCTCAATCAGTCTAAATTATATATATGTACCTGTTCCTCAATCAGTCTAGAAGAATGTATGTACATTGCTCCTCAATCATTCAGGATAATGTGCAATATCGTTGTGAAATATCTTCAGTCCAGTGTGTAACAACCAAGTACAGTGATATTCTTGTTTGACACAGTAATGGTGATTTCCCCTCAAAGCGCTGTTCATAGCACCGTATCTTGAGATGGAACACCAGTCATCATGTTATGTGGAATAATGAAGATGACAGACATGATTACATAGATTTTGTGATCCAGTTGAAAACATTCAGTAATCCCTCCAATCTCTCTGAAACAATCCTCCCAATAACTTCCTAAGTTAACAATTCTTGCTCTTCGTTTTTCTGAAATTATGCTCTGTTAATCCAAAAATACTCTGCTTTGTGCTTAAAGACTCTCACCCAAATCTCTTTTGAAATAGTAAAAAACAACTTTATCAGCGTGTATTGATACAAGCAGGTAAGACGTTAATTTTCCTCCAAAACTTTCTTCCAACATTTCTGCTGGTAAAGTGTGACAACAGTCTTGTGTAAACTATATCCCTAACCAGCTTCAGTGACCGATGCATTAATGATGTCATTTGAGTATCATGTCATGGAGAGATGGCATTACAGAGGCTTGTAGCTTCATCAGATATTGATATCTTCTCAGGAAGCCAGTTTTTTAATAATAAATAGTACATTGTTCAATATTTATGTAATGTATGCATTTATTATCACAACATCATGAGAAGAGAACTTGAGATTAATGAAGAGGCATTTGTAATGTTATAAGTTATTAGTCATTGGCCTTAGTTCATGTATTTGTAAGTGATCCCAAATGACTCAAGATCATGACTCGTGACCCTTGTCCTACAAGAATGATAATATCATTTGCCCAACTGACCCAGCTAAGAAACAAACGATGACAGAAAAGAAATAGATGTAGTGAAGTCTTACATCAATAGATGGAAAAACAAGACACATAATGTCATATCACAGCATCTTTTGAAAATTGAGTAGGTAAAAACTAACAAGTGAACCCAATTGGTTCTCAACAGGGGCTGGATGGGTGATACACTGTGTAGTAATTGTAGATTTGTCATCTGCATTTCAAATCTCAGATCAACCCTTGGTCTAGTATGTTTTACTTCATCACATATTCCACAGCTGAAACACTGAGAACAGTTCAAGTCATTTGTTGGGAACTTATCCTCCATGCACTGCAATAAATGTTTGGTATGTTTTGGAAAATTCAAAATGGCTGCCATAGTTGCATGTTCTGTTCCCGGGGTGTCTTCAGAACAATGCTAGTGGACATTGTCTTCAGCATATTGAAAGTATATATGTTACAATAAACTCTATGACTGAATGCAGCCAGATAGATTGTTGACAGATCAGGCCTCAGTTCATCATGTTGGCTGGATGCATGGCCTGGTGTTGAATCATGGCACCGAAGTCGTAGTCATCATCACCATCATCCATCATCAACTGGGCCATCAGGTCTTCCTCCTCCTTGTTGTACTTTGGGAGCTCCTTCGGCCTGCAACAGAACACCATCCACTTATCCCAAGGAACGGGCCATGTGACCATTCAAAATAAATCAGCAGATCCCAGAAATCAGCTTTGTGTGGTTTGTTTGCTATTTAGTACTGCCCTATAAATACATATATTTATATTATATATGGTGGAAGCCTGTAAGTAATTGAGCCTTGACTTGTGAATCCAGTGACTGATATGATGAGCACCGATCAATGCAATTGGGATACGATGATGTGTCAACCAAGTCTGCGAGCCTCACCACCTGATCGAGTTAATCACCTCTTACAATAAGCCTGATTTGCTGAACACCAATCCTAACAAGGTCAGCCATGTAGGATGTGTGAGTCAAAACATATGTATGTTTGTTTATTTATATGAAGCTGCACATTCCTGTGTGTTCCAGATGTCACCACAGACAGTCCTGGGCCCTGTTCCTCAAAGCTATCGTCGCTACGACAGTCGTAGGTCTATGTCAAAGTACGGGAGTTAGTCATCTTAGCGCTATCGCTGAGGAACGAGGCCCAAATAAATGAAGGGCAAATGGTGAAAATCTAGCATGTGTTTTACAAAATGTGAAAATATCGAAATGTTTCTATGCAAAGTTATCACTATATATTATAGGTTGGACATAAATAAATATGGTAGATATTTAACGCTTCATTTAACCATCATGAAGGACGCTATATCATCCATTGTCGGTGTCGTCTGCTCTATTATTCAGGAGGGAGACAAACGCTCCTGTAACCAGTCATCAGATGTCCCGCAATGGTCCAAGAGTGAGTTCTATCAATGTACATTAATGCAACCATTAGTTCAACCGCCCAGTCAATGTGGCTCTGTACATTATTGAAAACGTTTTACCGGCAGACGGGATACAGTATAAACAAGCCACCACACGCCAGGGTCACTGTGTACAATATAGTTGTTGATTCCTGCACTAAACTCACGTTCTGATGACGCCTAACTGTCGAACAACATTGTAGTCTGTTGACACGTATATAATTCATTAGTGTAAGTAAATCAGTAAATGAGTGATGGGAATTCTATAACTGTTTTGGTACATCACACGTGCATGGGAATGTTGTTGGCAAACCTAGAAACACGACCGAGGGTATCTGGGATTGAATCCTATACCTAGCATTAAATTACTGGCTTACCGTGCCCTAACCAAATTTATACTTTCATTACATCGGACGTGTCTATTGAATAACGTCACTGTAGGTGACATCAGTGTACAAATACTCACGTGGGCTTCTGGCTGACAGTAGTCGGTTGTTGTTCCACTGGCTCACTGGACCGGAGATAACGAGGTGTCTCAAATTCTGAAATTAAACACTGACATGCAATTAAATGTAACCCACGCTTCGGGCGTTGGTCAAGCTACTAATTACGTATAGATCATTATATATCGTTAAAGAAACTGTCAGGAAAAACTAGAATTGATCATGAATAGGTAGATGGTGTTTACTGTATCTACCCTTCGCCCTTCGTATTCTGCTGCCAACGTGTCTGATTACAGGGATGGGTTCAAATTGTTCTTCAGCTGGAATTGGATGATCAGGTAAGCTGTTGTCGAAACGTTCAGAGCCCTAAGAACTTCTTAAGCCCATCCTTAACACATTGGCTACGATCAAAGTTAAGAATTCTTAGGGCTACGAAGGTTTCGAGAATAAGGGCCCAGGCTCGTTGATTTGGTTGATGCATGTCATCGTATCTTATTTCCAAAAATCGGTAATGTAAATCGTTGTATTGTCTGTTCCAGACACGAGTATTTGCAGATCGACATTATATACGCGGTGTGCTGCTGAGTGAGGCGTGAAACAACTAACAAGGAATACAATCAGCTTAATTCCACTTTGTTTAAAGACCACGTGGTCTGGTGAGAGAGACATAATGATTCATCCAATGTAAAAGAAGCATCTCCATATGTGTATAACTGTCCACATGTGGGAATTCCGGATTAGAATTACTTAATGGGCTGTGTATTCAGGATGGGTGACTTCGTTAGCCGTTCATCGTGCCCGGATGACATGGATCATACCAGTCTGGTTCAGCATCGATTATTTACCGCCGACTGTCTTTACATCTCTTGGTTGGCGTGGGTCCCTAGTGTCAGGGTTTCTATGTTCCCGGCCGCCACGGCGGTCCCGTTTCGCCGATACTTCGTGAAACGGGGTTGGGGGCTACAAAACGTTCCGTGGCTGGGTGGCTAAAAAGCAAAGCGTGACAGTCCGTGATTGCCGTGGATGCCGTGCCAGATTTTTAAACTGTTCAGAATGCGGCAGGCCGGGAGGAAACGTAATGGCATCCGTAGTGGACCGCAGGCCGAACTGTAGTGAGCCTTTGAGCTTCCGGGACTCACCAGCCCCTTTTCTCAACGGCTTACCACGCATACCGTGATAGACCGTGAGAAAACGTAGCAGGACCTAACAAAAATATCCAAAATCCCACGGCGCACTATGTTTCAGAGAAACGAGGCTGCCATGGCCGCCGGGAACGTAGTGTATCCCTAGCATTAATTACAGAGAAGTCGGTATAGCTGTTGAGGGACCACTGATAGTTTATCCACCGAATGTTCAAACTTACCTTCTTGAGTCGAGAAAATGTCCTTTTCTCGAACTGGCTGTAAAAGAAAATGAACAACTGATTATCTGGAGAGTCCAGGCATGTGTTTTCTCTCTCATTAAAACAAACAAATAGAAAGCCAACATTCGTAATTAGCTATTGGATGGAATAAGGATAATCAGGTTTAGTTGCGCTGATGTTGACCAACTATCGCAGAAATAAAGCCACAGTGTATATGAATCGCTTATGATTCGTAGGATGAGTGTCAATCCAAAGAATATATAATTGTTTCAAAAGGCTGTATAATGCGTCCTATGTCTTATCGGAAATGCATGACTTTTAACGGGAAGAATCGCCAAATTCCATCAGAGTATCTATAAAAAGACTACAGATACTGAATTTTCTTATTGTCTATGCCTTGTGGCCTTCTTAAGTCACGATACAGTGTAACAAAAGGTAGCAGACCGGCCCTTCACAACACCATTCTCTTCGCCTGAAGAAGCAAATAGCCTCGAACCAGAATACATCTTACCTTCCCCTGGTTTGCAGCCCGGAACTTGGAGGCATCAAACCCCTTGGTCATCTAAAAAGAGTCAAACACAGAATATTCTTTCAGTTGTAAAATTGAGGAGCTGAGAGTACTGTGTGAAGATAGCATTGCCGATTGAGAACCTACAAAGTACATTGACTGTTCTAGTATAGGAGTGGTCCAGTGCAAATGTGAAGGTGCCACGTGGTCTTGTTGAAGTGCAATTTGCAGACACAATGTACTCTTGATAAAATGAAATGTGAAGATGCCACGTGGTCTTGTTGTCTCTCTCTCTCTCTCTCTCTCTCTCTCTCTCTCTCTCTCTCACACACCTCTCTCTCACTCTCTCTCACTCTCTCTCTCACTCTCTCCTCTCTCTCCACTCTCTCACTCTCTCTCATCTCTCCTCACTCTCTCTCACACTCTCTCTCTCTCTCTCTCTCTCTCACACACACACACCCTCTCCCCACGCTCTCTCCCTCCTCTCTCTCTCATTGCCACTCTCTCGCTCTCCTCACTTTCTCTCGCTCAGGTCTCTCTCCACTCTCTCTCGGCTCTCTCTCTCTGCTCTCTCTCTCTCTCTCTGTCTCTCTCTCTCTCTCTCTCTCTCACTCTCTCTCTCACTCTCTCTCTCACCTCTCACTCTCTCTCTCTCTCACACTCTCTCTCTCTCTCTCTCTCTCTCACTCTCTCTCTCACTCTCTCTCTCCTCTCTCTCTCTCTCTCCTCAGACTCTCTCTGTCTCTCTCTCTCTCCTCTCTCTCTCTCTCTGTCACTCTCTCTGTCACTCTCTCTCTCACACCTCTCTCTCTCTCTCTCTCTCTCTCTCACACACACTCTCTCTTTCTCTCTGAATAGATTTAGGTACACAGTAATCTACGCTTACGTGTTAAGTAATCCCTACAAACACCCTGTACTGGCTATAGAACACACCACATTGTGGACAGTGGACATTGTGGGCCGCTGGCTGTTATTACTGATTCTCTCTCTCTCTCTCTCTCTCTCTCTCTCTCTCTCTCTCTCTCTCTCTCTCTCTCTCTCTCTCTCTCTCTCTCTCTCTCTCTCTCTCTCTCTCTCACACACACACACACACACACACACACCTCCACACTCTCTCTCTCACGCCTCTCGCTCTCTCCCTCACTTTCTCTCGCTCACTCTCTCTCTCACACTCTCTCTCTCTCTCACACACACACACACCCTCTCACACTCTCTCTCCCTCCTCTCTCTCTCTCTCCGCACCCTCTCGCTCTCTCCCTCACTTTCTCTCCTCACTCTCTCTCTCCTCTCTCTCGCTCTCTCTCTCCCTCTCTCTCCGCTCTCTCTCTCTCTCTCTCACCTCTCTCACTCACCTCTCCCTCTCTCTCTCTCATCTCTCTCTCTCTCGCTCACTCTCTCTCTCTCTCTCTGTCTCACTCTCTTTCTCTCTCTCACCATCTCTCTCTCACTCTCTCGCTCCTCTCCCTCACTCTCACTCTCTCTCTCTCTCTCTCGCTCTCTCTCTCTCCCCTCTCTCACTTTTTGCCTCTCTCTTCCTCTCTCTCTCTGTCTCTCTCTCTGTCTCTCCTCTCTCTCTCTCACTCACTCTCTCTCTCTCACACACACACTCTCTCTCTCTCTCACACACACTCTCTCTTTCTCTCTGAATAGATTTAGGTACACAGTAATCTACGCTTACGTGTTAAGTAATCCCTGCAAACACCCTGTACTGGCTATAGAACACACCATATTGTGGACAGTGGACATTGTGGGCCGCTGGCTGTTATTACTGACTCTCTCTCTCTCTCTCTCTCTCTCTCTCTCTCTCTCTCTCTCTCTCTCTCTCTCTCTCTCTCTCTCTCTCTCTCTCACACACACACACCCTCTCCCACACTCTCTCTCTCCCTCACTCTCTCTCTCTCTCACACCCTCTCTCGCTCTCTCCCTCACTTTCTCTTGCTCACTCTCTCGCTCACTCTCTCTCTCTCACTCTCTCTCGCTCTCTCTCCCTCACTCTCACTTTTTCTCTCTCTCTGTCACTCACTCTCTCACTCTCTCTCTCGCTCACTCTCTATCTCACACACACTCTCTCTCACACACTCTCGCTCTCTCTCTCCCTCACTCTCACTTTTTCTCTCTCTCCTCTCTGTCTCTCTCACTCTCCCTCTCTCTGTCACTCTCTCTTCCTCTCTCTCTGTCTCTGTCACTCTCTGTCCTCTCTCTCTCTCTCTCTCTCTCTCTCACACACACTCTCTCTTTCTCTCTGAATAGATTTAGGTACACAGTAATCTACGCTTATAACGACAATTCTTGTAACGAACTGACGGATATAACGAACGGCTATTGTGGTTTTGGCCTCGGCAACGCGCTGTATGTTGCTGTCGAAATGCCTTTAACGACCTGCAGATATAAAGAACCATATTAGTCGTCCCTTTGAGCTGGTTGTATAAGTTGTCTACTGTATACAGTGTTACTCAATTAGCAACGCGCTCTGCGTGAATCTCCCAGAAGCCAAACGCTCATTGCCTTAGACCAAGGTGAGAAAAATCTTTACATGTTATCAAGAATATATTTGATCTAGATTACACATACAGCCTTGGGATATCGATCAGCCAGAACAATAGGCATGCTGCGAAAATATATATTTTAACCCAGTATTGTGTGACCGGCCTCGAGGAAGCAATGGGGAGACAACAATCCAACACCCGCCCTGACCGGGTAAGGGGAAGGGAACACCGGGGCAGGAGTATATGAAGGGAAGGGTGGACCTGCCGCATCCATGGAAACCAGAACTGACTTGACACTAATCCGGCGGTTCCACATCTTCATTCAAAGCTGAATTACAGGAAAATGATTAATCTTTTTATACATTGATCTTAAACCGATATCCGAGTCAATACTAAGCTGCATGAAGCAGCATCCGAGTGTGGAAGTAGATGCACTGTCATGATACTGATTCTGTGTTCAGCAAGAGTGTGAGGACTTGAAGACAGGAAACAATCAAAATAAATTCCAGGACAATAACGTAATTTGAAAAAAAAAAAAACAGCTACATTTTAAGCTCTAGTCCACTGACATATCACGCTACCTCCGATTCAGTTCAGTATTCAGCCTCCAAAATCCCCTTAATGCTGAGGACCCGTGAAGGTCCGGGTTAGAATGAACCTTCAGCAACCCATGCTTGTCGTAAGAGGCGACTAAGGGGATGGGGTGGTCAGGCTCGCTGGCTTGGTTGACACATGTCATCGGTTCCCAATTGCGGTATTGTCTGGTGCGGCGTGAAACTAAACTCACTCACTCACTTAATGCTGAGGGTCATGTAGTCTAATATTTGTGTATGGCGCAGCCAGGATACCACTGACACCCGCTCTCACGGCAGACTCTTCATCAAATGTACCATGGAGACAGGCTAAAGCACAGGACGTTACATTGCCCTTTTGTTGAGATCAATTTAATACGGTACGATATCATCCGGTGTTCGTGACTTCAATAACTATGGTAGGTATTAGCTTGGAGTGATTATGGACATGGTTATTGCTAAAAAAGGTTGGGCAAGCCCTCAATACTATCTAAATATAAAGCTTTACGACCTATCGGGCTTTCGCGAAAAATATGGCTTGCTACGCGCCCGGTTCGATTATTACAATGTGAGGTTACCACAATCCAGGCACCCGGGCCTCATTAGAACCTATCTGGAGTAACCATGCAGTGCTAATCAAGTACAGCGTAGCGAAGAAACCCAAATAAAACGCTTAAAATGCAGTCTTAGATATAGAAAAACATGGCAGTCAGGAGGACCTCAACAGCCATATACATTGCTATAACGCACATCATTAGGTGGTTAACAAGTCTTTTATTGCGTGACAAAAACCTGCCATTTTACCTGCTCTACTTAATGCATGTGAAAAGATAAGAAAGTTATAAAAAACCGCATAGAACATCAAACAATTGCAAAATCAACGTTAAAGTTGCAGTATGTATCTGAAAATATTTATGTCAAAGATCGAAAGAAACATTTCCTTCAAGCATATCACTCTACATATATACCATCGACACCAACTTAATTATATTTAACAAAACGGATATTTTTAGGTATATATAACCTATAAGCTACACCGTAGACGTCGCCTGAACGTTGCTAACCAGAGTACCTCAGGGGTATTGACTCTTGGCACCTAGACGTATACTTTGGTCAACTCGGGTTCATCAGTTGTTTTGAAATCAAATACAATCACTGACAAAGATACCATTGGGAAGATGCCGTTATTGTCTGTTGGGCACAATTCGTAATGCCTTAGGAGATACGTTAAATACCAACTTCCGCGGTTGGTTAAATAGCAGGCATTTTCCATGTATTCTGCGAGTATTGGAACTCATCTTATAGGTGAGTTTATCGCGCATACCTGTGCATAGTTCTCAAATGAGTGAGTGAGTTTAGTTTTTAGCAATATTCCCGCAATATCACGGCGGGGGACACCAGAAATATGGCTTTCACACATTGTACCTCTGTGGGGAATCGAACCCGGGTCTTCGGCGTGACGAGTGAACGCCTTAACCACTAGGGTACCCCATCGCCCCAGTTCTCAATTGAACGGGTTTATCCGAGTACATTGGAGACAAGGAAATAACTTTGTGCGCAGACTCTTTCAGTGTTGTCACAACCCTGTGCATTTAAAAGAACCCATGAATCCATTGGTATATGACCAGATGGTTGCCACATGAATACGTGCAAACACCTAGTTGCGGGTAAAACAACGTGCAGTAACTTGGACAAAGTATTGTGACTATGTGTCCCAGTCCATCCAGCTGTAAATGGGTACCTCGTAAGGATGAGAAAGCGCCTACACTGTAAATAAATGTTGTCAATTTGACAATTTTAGCGTTGTCATTATTGCTTAGACAATTATAAGTTGTCAGTTTGAACATTGAGAGTTGTCAGTATGACAACCCATGTTGTTATTGTGACAACATTGCGAGTCTTATACTGATTGGTTTAAAACAAGCTTTCATTAGATATGATATTTAGATAGTGTTGACGATCATGTTTATAGTTTAACCACGCGTTTTACACAGGATATGTGTTGACAATAGTTTTGTCAAAGCATTTCTCAAACTTTGACAATACAAGGTTGTCAAACTTGACGGGTTGAGCGCATGGCAGTTCCAATGTCCTTCACAGCGAAGGTCACAGTAAATGAGTTGCAACGCGTCGGCAACGTCAAAGTGAGCGGGAAAAGTGGTTATAGTAAGTATATACAAAACACTTTTACAATTTCATTTCATTTCCAGTGGCTGCAAGAGTTGTATGATCCACGGGGAGTTGAAGTTGATAATGCAATGTGCCGTTGACATTGACATCCAATGATCATGGGGGAAAAATACCAGCGCCTTGAGCATGAACTAGTTGCGTGGATATGTGCGCTATATAAATATCCTATAATAAATAACTCGGGGTTTTTGGCGTCATCTGCTAATGGGATTTTTAACTCAGCGAAACAGCGAACATATGCTAGTATTCCCTATCTTACGAAAGAATGTCGGTAAGACGGATTAGTGGGCTACCGGTCACTCGGGTCAGATTGGGTAAAGTGGCCGGGGTGTGAGTCTATGTTTGGTGCACACACACGGACACCATATCACGTACACCATAGATCGGTCAATAACTTGCATCATAAATACTCAACTGATTTAGACTGCGTGTCAATTCAGGTGTATAAGACTAGGACGCCTCATGTAATATACTGTTGTAACCAAGGAAACAATAGGCATGTTTAGTTGCACAAAACGCCTACAGTGATTGTCAGAACGGAATTTGTACTGTACCAGTAGCTAAACTGACGGACAAAAGAAAGTATTCAAGTTTGATGATGGCAAAAAGTAGAAAAAATAAAAATATCGGATATAGACGGATAAGTCATATGACTGTTAACTTTCTATAGCGCCTCGGGTTAACCAGGATACTTATGTCTCCGAGCTTTGAGCATGACACAAGCGGGTGGATACAGGCCCTTTATACATGTCCATTATTGTTATTACCATATGAAGTAATGACAGCAGAACTCAAGATAAGATTTAGCTCATGTGGGTACTGTACCCACTGTATTATTTTGGAGTGGGTATTATGAATGTTGAGTGGGTATTTCAATTTCCGTTACCCACTGCTTTCAAATATGTGCGTATTTCAGTCATTTTACTCACCTAAGTATATGTCATTGAGTAAGGTTACTAAGCAGGTATGTTCTGCCTTATGTCATACCTAATCAAAACCAACTTAAATATATTGGAAATCACTCATCCTATACTGACAGTACAACGCTTGCCCTATACTAACAGTACAACTTGATAGCAATCGATGTCATTTTCATTACGCAAGAAATTTTTATAAATATATTCCGTACGCATTTGTTTTAAACTTTTTGCGTATCTAACATTTTAAATGCGTAATTGGTACGCAACAATTATTTTTCAATGCGTAAATGGGAATTTTCTATGCGTATTCTACCCGGATACGCAGCTTATCTGGGCCTCTTACAGTAATGTATGGAATTCAGGAGTGAGAACATGAGACTAAGGGTAACCCTTTACATGATACTGGTTGGCACACGTATTAGCTACCCCTCGGCGTTGGGCTTAAATGTGCAAATGGTATATTTGTACAGACTGTTTCACTGGTCACCAGTCACCACAGACTGCCATATAAGGAAATATGACTTATTCTAAGGACACGATGCACAAGGAATTGGGTCAAGAATTTCGGAAGTTTTCTACACCAGGGTAGTATTTCCTAGGTGTTTCACACGGGCACCCCGTATCCAGTCTTATCGTTGCATCGCGTTCACCAAGCACGACAGGGCAATGAAAGGTCATTATTTTATGGTTCAGCTTCACACCACTCATTAATCATGTTACTGGTTTACAGTGTATGTACAGCTAAACGTGATGCTAGGCATGCGTGATGAATATAGGTAAATGGTGCAGTTTCGAGTGTATCACATTGTGCACATTTCTATACCATACTCAGCTTTAGGGACCGTTCATAATTTATGGCTAAGGGGGATGATGGTGATTTTTATGGAGAAGCATGTACAATATGAATGACCACCCCTAAAATATATGTACAACAAAAGTTAAACCCCCCCCATGTCATGTACAAAATCAATGACCCCCCTCTTCCCATAATTTCTAAGCACAATTTTAAACATATTTTTATGTACAAACTTGCTGACCCCCCTCTAGTACGTGTGTACAAACTTGCTGACCCCACCTAGCTCCCCAGAACAAAATGGGTGACCCCACCCACCCATCATCATCATCCCCCACCCCTAAGCCATAAATTATTAACAGTCCCTTATAAAGGGATAATCAGATTTGTGATTCTGTTAAAATGTACACGTAACATGGACGGATCCAGGAATTTTGAAAGGGGGTTCAGGGGTTCGAACCCCTGAACCCCCATTTGGCTCCGCCAACGCAAAAAAAATCCTCATTGGTCTTAAGTCATTTTCAAAAGGGGGGTTTCGAACCCCTAACACCACCCCACCACCCCTCTCTGGATCCGCCAATGCGTAACATATTGGCTGTTGTAAATACATTTGTTCATATAAACTTGCTCGTTGAATAGCCTGCTGTAAAATCTTTTTATGCCATTACATGGAGTTGACGTGGTATGAATCGCAAGATGTTTAAGCATTCCCACTCTGCAACTGTACCTAACTTGGCGCACTGGAAGTAAACTGAACATGTCTGGGTACATATCAGAACTCGGTATCGTTTACTATTCGTAGAAATAAATGCGTTTCAGTCGAACTATTTGACTATTGTGGAATCATTATGTAGTTGCACTGTGCTTCGGTGAAATTCCCGAAATTTGATGCCGATTCTCAAGTGTAGAAATTGCCAAAGTCCTTCCCATAAAGGATGAATATAAAGATCCTCTTAGTTTCTTATGTTTAAATACCCGTGAAGGTCCGGGTTAGAATGTACCTTCAGTAACCCATGCTTGTCGTAATAGGCGACTAACGGGATCGGGTGGTCAGGCTCGCTGGCTTGGTTGACACATGTCATCGGTTCCCACTTGCGCAGATCGATGCTCATGCTGTTGATCACAGGATTGTCTGGTCCAGATTCGATTATTTACAGACCGCCGCCAAATAGCTGGAATGTTGCTGAGTGCGGCGTAAAACTAAACTCACTCACTCACATGTTTAAACTTGACAATGGGTACTAAAATGAGATTATTGGTGATTTGTTCAGTATGTCGTTCAGTACACTGTACACGTATGCCCGATTTATTATCCTTGAGATTGACACTGGCTAGAGAGGTTGATTCTTGTCAACCCCGGTTGCTATAAATGTGGTATAAACCTTGGTTGACGGTAGTCAATCAATATATGATAAACAAGCGCACGTGTTAACATGCGTGCAATCAGTTGACAGTGCAAGGAGCTGGCAATACATATTTTTGTGTGATAACTAAATAATATGCCGTACTGTTGTGACCGTGCTGTGGAGCAATACATACCTCAACTGTTCCCTGCCAGTTGCGTTGGGATAAAACAGAACCAGTCACACAATGTTCGCTGAAGTTTACACTACGAAACCCACACGTATATCCACATATATCAAGTTAAAAAGATAATACATCAAATGTACAACAACGGAAATGTATTATACCACCAGAAATATTGAGAACAAATTAATGATTGTCTGAATAGATAGAAATATATTCATACATTAAGGCCCATAAACAAAATGCAATACCACAGGTGTGAATAGGCCTAAAATACCTATGCTCTTTGAATGTTAGGTAACCTCACATTCGCAATCATTTACATAGTTTCAAGATTCGTTGAACTAATCGCTAATATGTTTTATGTTTGTTTGATTGAGCTGTGATATAGGATTACAGAGTATTATCGAATAACCGGCTATTTTATATTATCATACATTATATAATCATGTCGAGGAGGGCTAATGTCTCCCCAACTACAATGTGCACATGGCGAGCCCGAGCTATATATGGCCATACGTCCAGAGGGTATCATTAAATTAAAGTAAATTACCTCAAATCGTTTTAATGGGGATCTACGGTGACACGCAATGTTAGCCCAAGCAAGTTTCATTATATTTCTTTACTGAACTTGTATTATCTACTTTAAATTTTATGATGAAAAATGAGTTGGCCATTCAACTTACTATATTGAAAAAATAGACAAAAAAGAATATCTTATTTCATCTATGACACTCATTTGAACATAAAGATAATCCCTTTAATAAAATGTTGGATGATTTGCACCATAATCATTTTATATATTTTTACATATTACCGTTTCATTAGTTTCATTAATACAGACATGCTTGTATTATGGCCCAATGTACTGCAAACAAACGTCTGCCTGTTAAGAAAGAAAGGTTTCTCCCCTACCTTTTCTTCTTCCTTCTCTTCGTCTACGACCCACTCGTCTGGGTTCCTGTAGATCGTCTTCTCTCGAATCAACCTATCCTGCCCGAATGTGTACTGTTGTCTCGTATGGCGCTGTGCGTAGGTCTCGGGATACAGTTCCTGGGACTTGATTTCGTTAACAGAGTTCTGCTCTTGTTCCCTGTGGGACACCTTTGAGTCTGTTTTTGGCACTGGTTTTGAAGTTGTCGTTCCAAGGAAGTCGTCCCATTCATCATCATCGTCGAGGTCGGAGTCACTATTCCATTCTAATTTATTGGAGGTTTTAGAGTCAGTTTTAACTGCTTTACTTGGAGAACGTTCCGTAGTAGTCTTGTCAACACTGGAGTCTTTGACGGGGGATTTCGTCGGCGATTGAGTCGTCGTTCCGGTGTCCGTATTGATTCCGCTTTTGGAAAGACCCGTCGTGGACTTAACAGGTACGTTGTTATTTACATTAGCAACAGTCACTGGTTTTGAGCTCCCTCCCCTCGTATCAACCCCACCTGTCCTTTCTTTACTAGATCCAGATCCCATCGTTTCACATCAACATCACAGATATCTTCACATTCAAATAAAATAAAATCCGTTTTCTGTAAAGCCAAATCCGATTGGAAAACAGAAATTAAACCCGCCAAGCATTTCGACCTGAGAATACTCACAGCTTGTCAGTACTGGTAGGCATGCAAACTGGTGTTACAAGCTAAGCAGCGATTACCTCCCTTGTGCGTTCTGTAAGCGCATGGTCTGTCACGTGTATGTTATATAGGTTGTTGGACTTGCTCAATGAGCTAAGAATAGACCAGAGATACATTGCCAAGGCGAGGCAGTTCAAATACTCACAATTAACAGGCGCTATTGAAATGGGTATGTTCGATAACGTATGCGTGCGAACTAGAACCGCAGAACTGATCAGGTTGATTGGATTTATCATTGCAATGTACCCTTTGGACATCAAATTTAGAGTTAACAAAGATCGTTTTCAGTCAACTATTACATATGCGATTGATAACATGGACGCAGAAACATTAAACGTCGTCAGTAGAAATATATTTTACATAATGATTTCTATTTCTCTGTTCGTAATGTCTTGATCCAGAATTACTATTCTGCTCTATATACTTCGAATATCAATAACAATATCACGGAATACCTAATAATAATTTAAACCTCACAATGTCTATCCTGGGGGAAGTTGTGTCTTGACATGATCACTGTATATTAGTCTGTCATACAGACCCTGAAGCAAATATATCCAAGGAAGCCCACGCAAGTCTAGAAAATATTGCAAGTCTAGATTTCCACAGCTTCTGAAAATGAAGAAAGTCTCAGGGCTTCTTTTTATTATATTTTGGGTGTTTTTTTTCACTATGAGCCTTTTTTTTCTGTAAAATATGTTCATTTGAGAGACTAGTTGTTAGTCTAACTGTATACTAACGATAGAATAGGCCAGGCGTGATAACATCAGGACTGGCTCTACCACCGATTGTTGCGCAGTGTAGCTGCACTATGTTACCACTTCAGTTTAAAGACATTCATTACAGTGTGCCAAATTACAGAATTATGAGAGACAAGAATTATACAATTACTTCTCGCCAGTGCATCCGCCCTTACATGTTTCCATTCATATTCTGAATGGTTTGCCTGAAATATGAGTGTTATGTGAAGTTTCCAACCTGAAGAATAGCAGCATAATTGTGTTAAACTTGACCTGATGGACAACACATTTGTTTGGTTTCCGTTTATATGTTAACTAGGATTGAAACTAGGGGAGAAACCTAGGACCGAGCGCTGTGGGATTGTATGTAAACTGTGTATCGGAACACTATCAATAGATAGCTGTATTTAGCTAAGGGCTACAGTCTCAAAGAAAATGTAAGTACGACAATAGATTCGTGAGTATAAACTTGACTAAATTAGCATTGTTGATGAAGTGATGTAATTCATCATTGCATATATACATATACTTTGATAGATGTGCAATAGTAGTGCTACAGCTTGAAGACAAAGGTTGTACATTGTTGGATTGTAGCAGTGATTAGGTTGAAGAAAGGAGTAAATTCCACAGAAATATTCTCGTCACCCTACCAAGGAACCAGTTATAAGAATTTTATCATCAAAAGAAGTATCTGTTCATGTAAAATTAGCCCTGTTTTTAACACATTCGCTGACATTAAGGAAGAGTCTGATTTCTCCTGTCAACAAATTTCACATTGTTATGGTGCTTTCCAGTATTTGCACTGTCATTCAGTCAGTATGTATACAGTCAGTATGTATACATTCAGTATGTATACGGGCCGGAGGCATTATGTACAATAAACAATCTTGATCTTGAATATAGTTCATTCTTGGGTGAGAAAAGCATTAAATTTAAGTAAAAAGCGAGACATATTACAGCGAGCACATGGCAACATCGACACAGCTTTCACTGTTTGATCATCAGACAATGACATCAGCATCTAAATCTGATCGTGGATTGATTTAACAAAACTAAGTCGATATGTGTCGGATATTAGCACTGTATTTTATATAAAAGTAATATGCTATTTCGTCAGAGTTTATATTGCTAGCTGGCATTAGCTGCCATCTCTGAATGGCTACACGTTCTTGTACACTGAGATACACGTGAACATCCGGGTCTTCTGTAACCCATACTTGTCGTAAAAGGCGACTGACGGGATCGATGGTCGGTAACTTGGTCATCGTATCCCAATTGCGTAGATCGATGCTCATGATGTCAGTCACTGGATTGTCAGGCCTAAACTCAATTATTTACAGGCCGCTGTCGTATAGCTGGAAAACTGCTGAGTGCGGTGTTAAACAACCAACAAACTTGAAACTAGCAGATAAATACACCAGTGTTGCCGATACCATGCATAATCCAGGTGACCCATGAAGATCAGGGTTAGAATATTGATCTTCAGTAACCCATGCATGCTTGTCGTAAGAGGCGACTAACGGGATCGGGTGGTCAGGCTCGCTGGCTTGGTTGACACATGTCATCGGTTCCCAGTTGCGTAGATCGATGCTCATGCTATCGATCACTGGATTGTCTGGTCCAAACTCGATTATTTACAGACCGCCGCCATATAGCTGGAATATTGCTGGGTGCGGCGTAAAACTACACTCACTCACTCATAATCCAGGTGTAACCAAATCAATACTGAAACAGAACAGTTCTGACCTTCGCTGTCCAGGATGACCTATCCACACACATCAGATGGGATGGCTTCGACAATCGATTATATCTCAGAAACTGCATCCACTACTTTATATAGTTTGCCAGTTGGATAATAAATAATACCTGTGTCTTCAGCTTTCGCCGAAGACAACGCCTTTGCTGGAGGCATCATTTGGCGGGGAAAGAATTCTTAATATTAACTTAATATTCATCGCTTTATAGCCAAATATTTTGGGAGTACCGGTACAGTCAAAGAGATCTTCATTCCTGGGGTTATGAGTACGCTATCACTACTTGTACATACAGTGTGTGTGCGTGATTGTGTGTGCGTTCGTGCATCTCTGCTGAGCTTGAGAATCGAGAGACGGAAGTTTTGGATTTCCAGACTGGAATTGTAGATTCATTTTCCGAGTGAATTAAACGTGTAAGTCCGATTCATGGTCAGATTACACCTATCATTTAATGAAATAATTGTTTTTGCTTTGTTTATATTTTTATTGTTGATATTGTTTGGATTTATTGTTCTTCAATGTAGTGAAACGTGTGATTCCCGAGCTTAAGTGCATCCATCAACATTGTTTTAACAACATAAATAATCACATAATCAAACATCATTTATTATATTATATCGTGTCTGACACAAAATGGTGCAGTCGAAAATGGCACCTTAGCATATGGCCACCAATTTTATGTGGGTTTTTTTCAGATTTATACTTCGATATATTTGTACGAACGAAGGGAATGACCTATAACAAATGATAATTTCAAATATTAACTATCTGTATTTGAACTCTTAAACGATGAAAATATTTAGTGGGTGATAGTACTAAGAGTTGTCTTTCCCTTATTCCAGGTGGCAGGATTCAAGTCACGTGGTCTTTCTTTGCACGCCATATTGCTACTGGTGAGCACGTGTTAAAGTGAGAGGGATAGCAATAATTAATTTGGACCCTTTTCTCGTGTATATAACGATATAGTTCAGCCGCTTTTGCTTTGTTTAGTTTAGATATGACATAAATGGAATATGACGAATACTGTTTTCCAAATTATGCCTTATGGTTCACAGGTTCCTCGAAGTTGCACAACCTTACAACATCATAATCAATGTTGCTGCGCACATGTTAGAAAAGCTTTAGTTTATGTTAGAAGCCATTTCATTACCATTTCCTTCCATATTCCATGTTATTAAATGATGTGGCCAGACATTAATCATTACCTTTTTCATTAAGTACTTTCTTCAGAAAAATGATGTGGGGAAACGTACCGATCGGCCCATAATAGGCCGAACAGGGTATAAGGCCGTTCTGCCTACTTTGCTATAGGCCGATCAGGCTATATTTGAAGATTTTTGAAATTATTTCACAAACTATCAATTTCCGCATGAAATGGTTTTATATGATCATAGAGATTAATCTCTGTGGTGTAGTGGTTAGAGCGTCCGCCCGGAGAGCGGAAGGTCGCGGGTTCGATCCCCGGCCGCGTCATACCAAAAGACCTTAAAATATTATATTTGTTGGTCCCTGCCTGGCGTGGGCATTAATGGGTACAACAAGGACTGGTCGGCTCGGAGTCAGTACAATGTGTCTGAGTGGGGTATTTATGCTTCACTGCGGCATGGTATCGCAGTGAGCTAGCACTATAAAACCAGCTTAAGTCTGGGCTAGTACAAGCAGCCGCGCATACACACGCATGCACGTTGTCATGTGAGTGTAATATTCTCAAGTACGACATTAAACCTAATTTCACCTCACCTCATAGAGATGAATAGTTAATGGACCTCCTCCGCTTGAAAAAAATAAGTTTTTGGACAAAATGGAAATTTATATCATGTTCAGGAAAAGATGTTTCATTAAGAACACAATTTTGCATAGATTTTCCATTTGAAAACTAACACTGAATATCTGTCAATTATGAATAATGAAGAAAAAGGTTTAAAAGTCTGAAGAAAACGAATTTTCATAAAACTGTCAATTTATCTGTCAATTACTGTTATTTACTTACCTTTAGTGATTAAAAGCCATTGTAGAAATGTCCCGATTTCAAGCGTAGAAGTGGTAGCAGACGATGTTTTCCTTTGATACGGACAATATTATTGCAGCTGCACGGAATTACTGGACTCACTTGTATAGCAATTCTCAAAAAGGGTTTGAATGATGTTAATATCCTCATGCGGAAATGCACTGCTTAAAATTTATTTGATAAATATATAACTAAGCCGAACGGCCTATAATACCCCGTTTGGCCTATTATTGGCCGATCGGGTAGGTTTCCCCAACCTGATAAGTGTGACATCAATTGTTACATCTTTTCCAGCCCTGTCTTTAAACTGTGAATACTATCCCTGATCCACAAAGATGGTCAAGGAAGACAGGACCACCTGGAAGTCCAACTACTTCCTTAAGATTGTTGTAAGTAGCCAAATGTATAAATAATAAAGTGGGTTGCAATAAAATAAGGGACGTATATAATTTGTGGGTGTGTATGATGATTTTTATGGAGAAGCATGTACAATGTGAATGACCACCCCTAAAATTTATGTACAAAATCAATGACACCCTCTCTCCCCCCCCCTTTCACATAAATTCTAAGCATAATTTGAAAGATTTGTTATGTACAAAATTGCTGACCACCACCCCACCCCTAGTACACGTGTACAAAATTGCTGAACACCCCCACACACACACACACACACACACACACAGCTCCCCAGAACAAAATAGGTGACCCCTCCTTAAAATTATCATCATCACAAACCCCACCCACCCAAGCCATAAATTACGAACGGTCCCTAAGCTACACATAAAATTTCTGGAAGACTCCTACGCCACTGAAATGAACACTTCTGAAAAATGTTTTTCAATCTTGATAATGTAACATTGATATTTTCAAAGAAAGTAGTACCTAATGAGTAGATTGTAATTTTTCATCTCAACATTACCCTCGATCGGGTTTTCACGATCATCTATTTTGATAATGAACAAGAATTATCAAAAGAACGTGTTTTTCAGCAACTTCTGGATGAATATCCAAAATGTTTCATAGTGGGTGCGGACAATGTCGGTTCCAAGCAGATGCAGAAGATCCGACAGGCCCTACGAGGGAGAGCTGGTAAGATATTTCATAAATTGAAAAGAAGCAAATACTGGAGTCGGCTATCTGCTTAACATAAGATGATTTACTTCATGCAATGATGATCCAAAAGCGTTGCGAGAGTCACATAGCCAAACGATAGAGCCAGAAATGGCTGAACCCACTGTCGTTTTTGTGACATGGAGAGCAATATCTTGCCTATTTGGCTGTCTGAGCATGAATTTGTGTATAATTGTTTATATCATTATCATCATGGTACAAAATGTTTGTGTATCATTTCACCCCTTGTGGAGTGTCAGGGTGAGCAAATAGGTTCTCTATCTTCATTAACTCCAAGCAGTTCACATTTGTCATGGTAGAACAGATAAACCATCAGTGCTTTTAGTGTAGATTTAACCATTTACACAAACTACTCGACACTGGCCGAGGATCAAAATAATCACCTACAGTCAAAGGTGTTCATAGCAAATGTTGAGTAGTGTAATATGTTCAAAATCACCCTGGTTTCAGTTGTGCTTATGGGAAAGAACACCATGATGAGGAAGGCCATCAGGGGCCATCTGGAGAATAACCCAGCCCTGGAGAGGTAAGGGATGTCACATGTTTGTCATGATGATGAGCGGTCTGTGGTACCACCTGCTAGTACCAATACTTCAGTGTGTTTTCGACCCTCGGTTGCATGGATTCACGCAGTCCTGCTCTTAGATAAATAATCAGTCCTAAAGAGACTTGCTAAGTCAAATGTGTAAAAATTCCAAAATTGGCATTACGAATATTCCAGTATCTTCCAGAATGAAATGTTAAAGAATTGTTATGGTTTTGTGGTGACATGTATTTCAGCTACTAATTTCAACAAGATATACTTGAAAAATTGCCAGCCTAGCACACCCAGTTTGGAATCTTAAATACCATGTTTGAGCAGGGTTATGCAAAGCCCAGGGTCTAACATATGTTACAAAACCGTTATTGGTTTCAGTAAACTTTGTTTGACATGCTTGTAAGAATCCATGTTTTACTCTGAAACTAGTGCAGGTGTATGTGTTAGAGAAAGTGAACTCAAAGGCTACAGGTACAGACATTGTTATATTTAGTTTGGTCAGTATCTACCATTAGCATCTCTTCTTTCAAAAACTGTTTAATAAAGTGTCAGCATGGTCATTATTGTTGAAATTCTTTTCAAAGCAGTTTTTTTTTTGTCAAAAAGTTTCCGACTTTGCCCTGAAACAGTGTTTAACATTAATATGATTATCCAGGAGGTTGGATATGAGTAATATTAGAGGTGGAGAGGAATTGTTTGTTATTAAATTTTGTATGTTTTGAAATGAATAAATACAAGATTCTTTAACTCGGGCCATATTAACTGAACTGCAATGATGATCCAACAAGCGTTGCGAGCGTCACATTGCCAGACGACAGAGCCAGAAATGGCTGAACCCACTGTCGTTTTTGTGACATGGAGAGCAATATCTTGCCTTTTTGGCTGTCTGAGCAAGTCATCTACAACAGTTTCTGAGAATGAACATGGTTTGGGGTTGACAGTGATATTGACTGACGTTCATTTGTAGATTGCTGCCACACATCAGAGGCAATGTGGGATTCGTATTCAGCAAGGAGGAACTTACCGATATCCGAACTGTCGTCATGGAAAACAAAGTGAAGGCCCCTGCCCGTGTGGGAGCCATCGCTCCCCTGGATGTGACTGTTCCAGCCCAGCACACCACTCTAGGCCCAGAGAAGACCTCTTTCTTCCAAGCTCTGCAGATTCCTACCAAGATCACTAAGGGCACCATTGAAATTCTTGGTATGTAAACATTGTTTTTCATTGAAAGTCTCTTGATCGTGCTCTGGTGCTTAAAGCCTTTACACATAACACCAAAGCCCTGGGTAGAGTTCTCACATAGTTGCAATGTATGAAGCCCATTACTGGTCTCCCAGCTGTGATACTCTTGCTACAGGTGGTGTATCACCTTATTGCCCGGCGCATGCTTTTATCAATGTCAGTGCTTCTGCAGTGCTTGTTTTCAAAGAACCATTTTAGATGTTGAATAATCGATGGTAGTGGGAGGTCTGCTGTGTTGAACTGAGTCTCTTGGAGAGTGCATTGTTGTATTAGTACAAATAAACCATTGTAGTTATCTGCATTTTGCAAATGTTACTATTAATGTGTTATTGCTACTAAATTGGTGTAATACTGAAGTCAGTCCACTTTTGAAGTAACTTTGTCAATGACTGGCAGTTTGCCAATTATGACATTGTCCAGGTGTTTTTTCACTGACAAATTGTTAGGAATTTCTTGTGCCTTTTGTATTCTTCCATTGAAATTGGTCTTGGTCTTCCTAGAATGCTGTGAATCTGATCAAGACAGGAGATAAAGTCGGACAGTCCGAGTCAACTCTCCTCAACATGTTGGGAATCTCCCCATTCTCATATGGGTTGATAATTGAACAAGGTAAGTAGAATGAAAGAATATCTCGTTCCATTATTCTAATGTCATGCTTTCACAATAATGGGTATAAGTCACTGCACACCTCTCCCGGAAGGTTGTCATTTACAGTTATCTATAGTACAATTAGTAACAGGACCGCCCGGAGTAGTGGTTGAGCGTCCGCCCGGAGAGCGGAAGGTCGCGGTTTCGATCCCTGACCGCGTCATACCAAAAGACGTTAAAATATGGTACTTGTTGGTCCCTGCCTGGCGCTCGGCATTAATGGGTACAACAAGGACTGGTCGGCTCGGAGTCAGTATAATGTGTCTGAGTGGGGTATTCATGCTTCACTGCGGCTTGGTATCTCAGTGGGCTAGCACTATAAAACCAGCTTCAGTCTGGGCTAGTACAAGCAGCCGCACCTACACATACACACGCATGCACGTCGTCATATGAGCAAAATATTCTCAAGCACGACGTTAAACCGAATTTCACCTCACCTCACAATTAGTAACAATGCTATCATTGGTCCTTCCCTCTGTATGTTCTAGTTTTCAGATTAAGGTGTGAGCTATTACCAGTAAAAGTTAGCTTCACTTCATGCTTTCTGTTACCCTTGTGAATTTTCAGTCTATGACTCTGGCACCATCTTCTCCCCGACGATCCTGGACATCACCGATGACGACCTACGAGCGAAGTTCATGCAGGTAACACACTTCCTTCATGTCTTTTATCAGCTTGAGAGTATTGATCAGTATAATGCCTAGTGTAAGCACTGCCATTGTAGCTAGATAAAGCAGTAGGATTTCTTCAGTTGATCAGCTCAGTCCCGTCAGAAATGGTGTTTGAATGATGCATTATACTTTCGTTCTACTGAAAATCCTGAGGAGACTTTTTGTACTGACAAACGCCGACACTGACTTTTTTCCACTATTTATTTTTTATTGCGTTTTATAGATTCATGACCAGTTTCTACACACTGAAAAAATAAGCTGATTTATCATGTCGCTTAAATGGGCAAAGGGAATTTGATGAGCAATTAATAAAAGAAAGGTTGGAAGTATACCAACATTTGTCCAGGACCAAAACAAGTCATTTCTGAGAAACTGTCGTCCTTGGGGGAAGTGTTTTGGTATACTATTGATATAATTCCCACTTGAAGGACTGGAAAGTTTGAATTCATTGTTTCTGTATTTGAATATTAACTTGTTAGTGTCAGGCTCTCATTTAATGGTACATTTGTTCGTGTTTATCCAAGCAAAATGTGTTTTATTCTAACACCTATTTTTGTGAATATCCAATCTATCAAGTCAATGTTCTGCCATATCGGTTACATAGAAATATAACCAATGCAATTTGTTTCAACTGAATGATAGCTGTAAGTATCTTCAGAGTAAATCAACATCAAAACTCTAACCTGAGTAGACTGTTCTGCTATAGTAGTTTAACAAGATAAGTCAATATGGTTTGAGTTGATCAGCTCAGACCAGTTAGACATGGTGTTTGAATGATGTGTTATACTTTCGTTCTACTGACAACCCTGAGGAGATATTTTATACTGACAAACACCAAACGATTTAAGTTGTGTCAATTTGTGCAGTGAAGAGCACGATAACCATTCTGTGAACAATTTCAACTCTTGTTCCCAGATTGTCCGCAACATCGCCAGTGTGTCTCTGATGATTGGCTACCCAACAGCTGCATCTGCCCCTCACTCCATCGTCAATGGATTCAAGAGGCTCCTGGCCATCGCTGTGGAGACTGAGTACAGCTTCCCTGAGGCTGAACAGGTAATGGCACCATCCATGATGGCTGTGGTAGTGCAATTTGTCAAGTCCACGCTGAAGCAGGTGGCCTATGACTTTCACTTTATGGTATTGTTGGGACGACAGGAGAATGGGTAGCCAGTACACAATGGAACATTACTCATGGTTGAAACTGTTCCATTGTGTAAGGTTACACAATGCTGCTCATTGGGTTGTCCTAGATACCTGATAGAAATAGCCACCAACCATTTCATTGATGCAGTCTATATTCCCAGTGCCTGAGTTGTGGCTGTAACATTTATCACTTTGGCTTAAACACACTCAAATCTTTGAAGCTATTTAGAAGTGGAATACATAAGAAAAGCAAGACTTATGGATGTCAACTTCTTTATTGTGAATAACATGACATTCCAGAGTGTATGCTTGCTCCTTCATCAGGTAATAAAACTGAAACGTGTTATTCACAATAAAGAAGTTGACATCCATGAATCTTGCTTTTCTTAAACACTCATAAAATGTTTCATTTAGTTACTGTTATTGCATTCATGCCATAGACATGTACAGTGACAATGCCTGGATAATCATGTAAATGTCATTGAAAAATAAGGTTCAATTGGAAAAAAATTTGGGGTTTGAATTTATCTTTGTTTGCTTGCAGACAAAGGAGTACCTGAAGGATCCATCCAAGTTTGCCTCCACTGTTGCTGCCCCAGCTGCCTCTGCAGCACCAGTGAAGGCAGAGGCCAAGAAGGAGGAATCTGAGTCGGAAGATGAAGACATGGGCTTTGGTCTCTTTGACTAAGGGAGATAATTCCTGTGTAACTCCCAGCATCTGATGTCTCCAGTGCCGGCTACAAGCCATATGGCCTGAAGATAATAAACTTGTAATTGACAATGTTGTTTGTTCATTTTATACATTAAGAATACATAATCTAAGGATACAAATTTCAAATTAATAATGATCGAATAGTTTGGAATGGTTGTTTTGTGTGTCTTGCATTAATCTGTGTAGGGTCCTTTGTTGAGCCTCTAGTCCTCACTGCGGATCTCACTGATGCACGGCTGAATTATCATTCTGATAAAATTAATGTGATGAACAGAAGAATCTATAAGATCCCACCGTCTCTGTGAACCATGTAATATGTGAGTTTGGTATAGTGTGCTGATAGTCTTTTGATGGCAATACCACATAATTAACATTGGTTATCACGCCTGGAGGGAGTATCGGAACTATACATGCAGTGGCCCGCTGAATAAATCACTGACTCCCGCTGCCATCGTTTTCAAAGGGGGTGGTTTGGGACCAGATTCCATCTCCTGCAGAGCACAGTAACGCGCACACACGCACCCTTCTCAAAATCTGTAGCACGACTGCTGTATACCATACTAATATTGTTTTAATTGGTCGTACGTGCATAGGGCACCGGGGTAGGTACAGCCTAGAAGAGGGGAGACAATCGACACGTGTGAGTGAAAGGGACACTAAGTTACCATCAGTCCTGTGTGTGTCTCTGTCGTGGCGAGAATACTGTTTGAAGCGACGTAAATCACTCTTTTGATGATCGCAGATCCACGATCTTTCAGACTTCTGAAGATGTGAGCTGAAATGGTGGGTGTTTTCGAGTGTATGAGTTTAACACAACTGCTTCTTAGATATAGCTGAAACACTATAAATATTCTCAGTTATCAAGTGTTTCAAAGAATCAAAGACGGAAATTCGCCGTGTACACATCTTTAAATTTCTAACAAAATATCTGCGACTTCATAGGTTATTGTGCAAATGGTTGTGTATTTGTTGTATTGGAGACAGTTCCGTCCCCAGTGCATTATAGCAGCAAATCAATTAGAGAATGATTATTTGTTTCTGAAAGTTATGTCGATATTCGGGAAAATATAACACCCAAATTTCCAACAGACTGTTAGAAAATTACAACAGAAAAACACACACTTGTACTCTTCGAAATTCTATCCAACAGAGCCCAACTGCTTTTCGAACATTCCAAACATCTTGCAATCAAAGTGCTGAGGGCCTCCCTTCTACAGTATTGATGAGAATGTGTTGGTTTCATGAAGAAAAATGGAAATTGTAATCGAATACTCCTTCCTTTTAACGGAATCAGTATTGTCTATGACAATGCATGAAATATTGGAGGTGATGGTTTCGAACGGTTTGGCCATGAACAGCTTAAATCAAAACACTGTTTACACAACAGTCTTGTTTCCTGCTGACTGGGTTCCGTCCTATTGCGCAACTTAGTACAATAACCAGTGTGAAATTTGAGACCAACTCATTCAACTGGATATATAAATATTAATCAGTATGATTTGATACATCTAATAACTACGATACATCTAATGCAACACTACGCTTCTTCTAATCCTTGCAAACACGCCGTGCAGCGTGCTCTGTCGTACAGCCTGTTCTGACAAACGGAAATCTGGAAATAGTGGAAATCTCAAAACGAGGCTCGGCCGCTAGAAAAGTTTGACGGTCTGGTACGGACTTCATATTATATATCAATCACATTGTACGTACAAAAATACACTTAATTAGTGGAAAGAACACATAACAGGTGTAACCAGTGAGCCAAATGGATTTTGAATCATTGTACGACCTCTTCAAACAGGGGCAGTCTGTCAAGTCTTAGTTAACGGCATGCTGCCTAAACCTCGACATAAAATATAGAAATACGATATTTTTAAACTCATGTTTCGGTTTGGTATATATCAAAACGAATAGTGTTGGCATATGTACTTGTGGGCGTATTCTTCTGAAGTTCAGCTGCACATCTTACATCCACACGACCACCCACCTACCCTGACGTGACTGAGAGTGTTGTGTAGGAGTGTTGTGCTACCTCAATTATGGATAGCCACAGCTTGGGCGGAGTAGCAGTATCGGAGAGTGAGCTAGCACAGTCGATAGCGTCTAATTGATGAGACACCAAGAGGGGGAGGGATGCGAGTATGGTTTTTTTCCCGGTCGGCTTGACAAGCGAACTCATTACATTGTAACTTTTATTGTAGGCTTGTAACGCCAAAAAACCCCAACTAGGTTATATTGTCACAGAAGGGGTCTTAGCACTATATATACCGTGATGCTAGTTTTTTGTGTGTTACAAGCCCCTGTGTAGTATAGTGCAATATGCCATGAATGTGAAGGGTGGGAGTCGAATGGAAAAAGCTGTTAAAGAAGACCTCCATTTATCAAGTGTCAAATACTGTAAATCACACTTTTGCGAGCAGGATATTTTTGCGAAAATTGCGGAGGACTTGAGCTCGCAAAAATATCATGACGCAAAAGAATGTCTGTTGGTCGCCACTCACAAAAATATCGTGACGCAAAAAATTCCTGATCTACAGTATCTCATTCAAAAATTACCATATGTTAAATTTGACCACTTTCTAAATGGCATTGTGTATTCAATACTTAACTCCTTATCGGGATGAAAAATGGAAAATAATTTCCTCCAAGCCTCATAAATATTGTAAAACACATATAGATTTTTTTCAAGTGGAAAGGTTCCCCGACAAGCCCAGGATATTTTAAGAGTACATTAGCCGAGCGATCAGGCCGCATAACTGTGTTACACGCGAATCTATTATTCACAGCTTCCTTTGTTCTGCTGAACACGGCTTCGTGCACGACCCACAAGGGACGACGTTACCCGAGGCGACATCCGTCAATGGAAGCGTATACAGCTATACGCTTTCTTGAACACGCTTCACCTGTCAATTCATAAAGGAGGAATGTGTTTATTCATGTCCGTTCTCATGACAGATATCATTCTGATGAGGGACATCTGGCACACCGGAAGTGACGTCAGTGTGTTTGGTGGCAACCTGTTATGATACGGATACCCTTGCATGTCTTGAAAGAACACTTCTTTTTCAAACCACGGTACACTTATACCGCTGTATTGTCTATTCAAGAGTACATTACCGCTCAAAACTAAATGCCCGTTTCACGAAACGATCTTAGCGTTGAGGCCATGGTGCACTGACTGACGATAACTGCAACGCTGAGAGGTTGCTCTGGGAACGGACCGAGGAAACAGGTGCGATGCCTTGAAACTGAAAATACCAATATATTATATACATTGAATACTGGACATCAGCTATAGTATACTAAGCAGGCGATCGAGAAGTTAGCGCGAATCTAACCAAACGTCATTCTAAAACCGGCAAGTAGAAGTGTTCAATCAAACATTATATAATGATGCTGCCCTCTATGTTACATCAGGGGAGATAAATTCGATGCAAAACAAGGCTGGAAACAGGGCGCAAATAGACCTTTTGTTGGCCCACTTCACCCTTAAACTTCACCATCACCACACCGAGGCGTCTCGAGTTCTTCCTGGTGTTTCGTGGTCCAATACCTGGGAAGTATTGTTTACACTACTAAGCTGATGCTGTTACTGTTAGACTTCTTTATTCAGCCATTTTACAAGCCAGTTAGGGGGGGGCGAGGAGAGTTATCTCCCTTGGACCAGTCATTGTATAATTACCACAGGGAGCAATCATTTAACCACGTTACATCCCTCCTCTTAAAGTTAACACTCAAAGCTCTTCGAGAATGTCCAACTAACTTATATCTCAATATTTAACAATCTAAAAAGACTGACTGACTGAGTTTGGTTTTACGCCGCTTTTAGCAATATTCCAGCAACATCACGGCGAGGGACACCAGAAATGGGCTTCACACATTGTACCCATGTGGGGATTCGAACCCGGGTCTTCGGCGTGACGAGCCAATGCTTTAACCACTAGGCTACCCCACCGCCCAATCTAAAAAAGAACCAATTGTCAGACTCAGATTTCAGTTAATAGAATGTTTGTGACCGACAATAGGGACTCACACCTACCAACAGGGACTCACGCCTGCCAACAGGGACTCACACCTAGTCACAACTATTGGGATATCTGAGTGAACAAGCGGACGCAGAAGCAAGACTTATCAGAACACCTTCTAAATAACACCCAGTGGAGGTTGGCAATGAAGGTAGGGAAGAAGCTGCTCAGATGGGGTGAGGTGAGGTTAAATTGGATTTAACGTCGTGCTTGAGAACATTTCGCTCATATGACGACGTGCATGCGTGTGTATGTGCGGCTGATTGTACTAGCCCAGACTGAAGCTGGTTTTATAGTGCTAGCCCACTGAGATACCATGCCGCAGTGAAGCATGAATACCCCACTCAGACACATTATACTGACTCCGGGCTGACCAGTCCTTGTTGTCCCCATTAATGCCGAGCGCCAGGCAGGGACCAACAAGTACCATATTTTAACGTCTTTTGGTATGACGCGGTCGGGGATCGAACCCGCGACCTTCCGCTCTCCGGATGGACGCTCTTATCACTACACCACGGAGGCGGTCCCTGCTCAGATGACAGGATTGGAGGAAAGACATAAAGCCGATACAAACGCCATTACCATTCTCTCACAAATCATCTCCACCACAACTCGTGTGTGAATCAGTACCTTGCAAATAGTGAGTGAGTTTTACGCCGCTTTTAGCATAATTCCAGCAATATCACACGAGAAATGGGCTTCACACACTGTAGCCATATGGGGAATCGAATCCAGATCTTCGACGTGACGAGCAAACGCTTTAACCACTAGCCTACCCAACCCAACCCACCACTCCCCACACATACCCCGGAGTTTACGAGAACATTTTTACATTATAAATAACCATCTTATGTTTGTATAATGTCTGATTTGTATATAGAAAAACATGTTTATAGATACATTCGAGTATAACTGTGCCTGCTATTATATTTCACATTTGATTAATAGAACCATGATTTCTATGTGTATGTAATATATGATACACTTATGAAACTTCTTCTTTCGTCTTCTTCTTTCGTCTTCCTCTCCTATAAATAATTATGTTTCTATAACATGCAAAGGTGGTCACTCCTTGAGGTCGCCAGTAAATGTCTAGATGTAGATGAGCCTAGTCTGGGAACACGGACAGAAAACATGAAACTGCGTGTTGGGAAAAAATCATTTAATAACAAGCTGGTAACAATCCGTTGTTCACAACAGCAAGATGGTGCGAGGCACATACCTTCTATATTAATTATGTACCTATGGAAAGGCACTGGAAGGGGGTGGGGTCTACATAACGTTTATTTTGTTAAGTACATGTGGACGATGAAGTGTGAACATAAGTCAATTTTCACATTTGGGTCACTATAGAAACCATAAAAACATTATTAAAACTCATATAAATAGAATCATGATTGGTGCTAATTTCCGCCACGATCAGTTTAAATTTCTATGAAGGAACACCAAGAAGCTGTCGTTCTTCACGTCCAACCTGGTTCATTTGGCTGTGTTTAACTCAAGTCCGTGAGACTTCATTGTTTGGGTTTGCCCTATTTAACCATAGATTATAATCACCCGAGGCCTTGAACATCCTGGCAGATCTATAGCATCTCAGCAATAGGTGGTCCTAAAGTGGTATCGATCATGGACATCTGTCCTAAACACACATATTCAGTTCTGACCACCCGATCAATTCGACATTAGTGCTTTACAAATGGCTAACCATGACAGGTTGTGGTCGATGACGTCTCAAATACTTACTCGGCTCTTCTCGCTTGAGTGGGCCGACATGACTCAACTTCCTTTGCTGCAAATAACTGGATTTTCCAGAATTAAAACAAACAAACCATTGATCCCTTAACAATAACAGCATCAGGTGACAGATTTACTAGGGTGAATACTGATAATTAGATTACCATAATTAAACCCTCATGATAGAAGACGATGTGCAGACCAACAGATAACCCCAGAGGTTTGGTTCAAGCGCCAGTATCCGACAGAGTCTGATTGAAACACCTCAACAGTCCCTAGTTTATCTTCCTTCTCGTCTACTGTGTATCCGAGTCTAGTTAATGCTGACCACCTATGTCCCAGTTTCACACAGCGCAAACATCTACACTATCTCAAAAAGGACAGGAACGAACTCTAGTTAAGGATAATAAAAAAACTGTTCAAAAGTGGAATAAAAACTTCACGATTTCATTAAGAACGTATTTATATTTATATCACTCCTACAACATGTGGTAATGAGCCTTCAGAAACGTAATGTTCAATTTGCCAAGTCCGCTCTAAAATCAATGCAAAGCTGTGGGATAACTGTCCATTATCTTTCTAGTTATAGATCTCGTCCTGTCTGAAGGCACTAACCACCCTACAAGCTGCGGATACCAAAACTGACGAGCTGGAGCTGTGTGTATCCATCCTTGCAAAAATGTCCATTACTCTGGTCTTAATGCAAAGTAGTCACAATAATCCCATTTCCCATAATAACTGGGCAAGGTATGGTTAGAGTGTATCGATCTTACGTAATAATAACGGCCTTTGAATACTGTTGGGGGAATAAACGCTAGGGGTTTAAACGCTACTGCCAGTATGTTAATAGAAATTCCGATGTTATTAAATAGTGATTTCGTTGGTCGATATTTCAAATTTCGTTCTTAATGCATTGAAAAATGAGAGAAAAGTTACTATCGATTTACGCTAATCACTGTATAGTTCGTCAATATTTACATATTATTCTGCCTGAAAATACACTGTTGAAATCCCTACACAGGGAAAAGGGGTCGTATTCCCAAAGTTATTTCGGTGTTAATAAGACGGGTCACATTTATACAACAGTTTAGTTATGACAACAATTCACACAACCAATGTCAATGAGGACAGTGGCGACCCTTTCTTCGTGTAATATTTCACTTTAAAGACTTTAAGGACCTCAAATCTGAGTAGTGTCATCCATAAGACTATCGCCTTTGCCTATGTAAATATAACAGTGAGTAATTAAAGAAAAGATTATGATCGGACAAGTCGGCTTGTGACACTGTTGTCTATGACAATCCTTGTCACGAAGTAATTAAAGCTAACTTGTTCTTCCTTTGAACAATACATCACAGTCTGCTGCACAAATTAACGAGTCGATGTCTGTATCGCAAGTCATCGCATTACTCACAAGAACCTGGGGTGGTCTTGTTGTCCCAAATGACTGTACACAATCAACGTCATAACACAAGAGGCACGTACCTCTCCCGCCAGGCACACTTGCACAGATGGTCCAAACTGTGAATATATTCCTGAATAGCTAAACAGACATCTATCGTATAAAGTACATAACTTGCTACTTTCAGCTCCAATTGAACATATTCTTTTCTCGTTTTTCCTGTTTCATGTATTTCTTGACTTCCGGTGTCAAGGCCATGGTCAGTTTGAGGTCCGTGGAAGGTGGTGGAGGAAGACTATCACTGATACCATGCCTTTGAACAGAGGGTATACACGACGTGTGTTCCGTTCTACACGCCGTGATGAACAGCAGACGATCCGTGAACTCCACAACGTCACCAGGGTACTTCATGATACCCTCTGACAATTCCCGTACTCCAGACATGATTTCGTAGTCGCTGAGTTGATCCATCTGCGGCGGAAACCTCTCTCTGATCATGGCGAACCATTTCTTCTTGGGCATGATAATAGGCAGACATTCTAACTCCCATTCCACGTCGAGTTTACACGACTGCAGGGTCTTGATTATGTTCATATACGGGGTCTCGTTATCTTGAAGTCTGTCCAGAGCGTCCTTGAAGTAAGGGAGGGTACTCAAACTCCCTGCACGATGGGTGATCAAAATTTTCCCTCCTGGCGCCAAACACCTCAAAATGTTTTCATATACGTGTTGAGGGATTGTGAAATAACGCACAACGTCTGCTAAGATCACTTTTGTAAACAGAGTCTTTGGTCCCTTCATGTTTTGTTCAGCGAGACTCCGGAAATATTCCTCCGCGCCTACGTGAGCAATGCGTATAGGGAGTAATTTATGACTTTCTGTTTCTGCGTAGTGGAAGGAACCCGGAAGCACGGTGGTAACAGGTTCAAGAATGACGAACTTTTCCTGGAGAAGTATGGCCATACTACCCTTGTTGTCTCCGACGTAGCATAACTTGTCAGTGGTGTCCAGTTCAAGGTATTTGTGTATGAGTTTGTACATCGTTTCCTCGTAGTCCTCGCCGAAGCTGAATTCATCATACTCGTCCATAGAAGGGATTTTGAAGCGTTTCTGGTAACTCTCTGAAATCACCGCCAGAGGGCGTGGACTCTCGGGACCCAACCGTGCAGAAGCCATGTCAGAAAGGCGGGATGAGTATTTCTTCAAATATGCTGTTTCTAGGATGAATAACACGTCATTATCGTCTGGACACAGGTCAAACTCTATCACTACTTCTGTAGTATTGATTAACCATGTTAGGTAGTTCGTTACAGCTGAATACACCGTACACTCGAACTGTTCCTAAGACTGAAATCACATATGAACGGTGAAGTCAACTTCTTTCCACTGTTTCAGATTCTGCAGCTGGCGTCTGCTCAACTCTCTACGGAACTGTCGTCTGCTCAACACTCTACGGAACTGTCGGCTGCCTGTCTGTCGTCTGCCCCTGGCCCCGACTACAGATACACCTGTCAACAGATAAAAATCGATACCTGTAATCACGACTTTGATCTCCTGCACAGGCATGCTCGGGTGTGCAACGTGAGCTGGGTGCTCCTGTATTGAATGTACATATGAAGATTAAACAATATCTCACTCACCTAGCACTACCACAAGCCGAGATTATCTAGACGCCATGGGAAGCGCGGTCAGAATAAACCCACAGTTTGCTGTTGCTGAGTAACTGGATCACGGAAACAATTACCAACATTTACTACTCTGAAACTTGCAAAAGTATTCTTATCAGCGACTGCGCAATCAAAGATAACTGGACTGCTGTGGTTTATTCACCTTGGCTCTCTGGTTTTGCCAACATAAAGAATGACGAATAACTTAGGGTAGCCTAGAAGCGCTCGCTCGTAATGCCGAAAGCCCCTGTTTGATTCCCCACATTGGTACATTTCAGTTTCAACTTCATGGTCAGCATAGAGTCTTTAGAAATAGCGTGTAAATGCGGCTTAAAACCTTATTCATCCACTCCCTCGTATTCATTCATTGTCTATGCCATGGCCTGTCAGTGATATATATGTGTGTGTGTGTGTGTGTGTGTGTGTGTGTGTGTGTGTGTGTGTGTTTAAGATAAATACGTTGTTTAAGATATATATATATATATATGTTTGTTTAACCGTTCGATCAGCTGTTTTTGTGTTCACTTTGTACAGATTTATTTTACCTACTTTCACTACTTGCACACTCAACCTAAACATAAGTAACATTTTTTATAGCAGTTTTATGCTTGTCAGAATATGTTTCACTGATGTTAAAAATCCAGTCGAGAGGCAGACGCCATTTTGTTTGCATGTCATATAGTCGGTAGCGATCTTTAACATAAAATAAAATGATATTTTGTACATTTAACATGGTGGTAAGGTAAATACGTTGTATGCTTCTCTCGAGGGTGATGCGGTCTGATATACGCCTCTTTGAAGCAGTGTCACCCGAGCCGCTAGCTTATACAACTTATAGCATATGTGTGTGTGTGTGTGTGTGTGTGTGTGTGTGTGTGTGTGTGTGAGAGAGAGAGAGAGAGATATACCATGACCGATTAACTGTTGTAACAGGACATAATCGGCTGTTCTTGAGCTTTGTTTTATATGTAGTTCAGTAACACGATGCCCGGTATATACAACGGCTAATCTTATACATCGAACCAATATCAGCGAAGAAAGTATGATTCCAGCCCATTTGATGACATATCTATGAAAGGCATACATACAAAGTAGGATATCGTTACGTTGCTCGCTATTGTGAGGGATGTATTAAAGCAGAGATTACGAGGCGGTCGGCTTATCGCGCGTCATAAATAGGATTATTTACACATGCCCAAGTAGGTAGTATCTGGCTAATACCCCATTGGAGCGTTTGTAACATGTATGAACTTTGTCTGACACGTCGTGACCTCAGTATCCGGTACTTTGGTCCCGAGGCCTCGGAGATGCCGTTCTGGGCATTCGCCGGAATAACACGAGTGTGTCACGAATGCGGTGCATTTCTCAATACAATCGGCTATTTCCGATGAAAATTACCATATCTCGGCTGTTACGGACAGGAGCGAAGGTTTCTGACACAAGGCTGCATAAAAAGTACGTTCGAATCTCATGGGGGTTTAGTCTATCTGCTTGGAATGCTCATTATTGGTGGAAAAGCATACGTACACACGATAAATCGAGCGAGGAACCAACAGTGTAACCTGAGAGACTTTCAGCGAACGCTGTAACCAGTGGCGACTAAAAGACGGACTGGGTTTCCTCGGATGTACACGGATACTTGGTAACCAGGAAGTACACACGCACAATCTTATTCATTCTTCATTCGCATGAAGGCGCGGATGCCCTGGTGTATCTCGGTGTATGTTTCTTGGTGTATCATATAGTCTTGGTGAATCATCATATCGACCTCGGTGTATGTTTCTTGGTGTATCATATAGCCTTGGTGTATCATCATATCGACCTCGGTGTATGTTTCTTGGTGTATCATATAGTCTTGGTGTATCATCATATCGGTATCGGTGTATGTTTCTTGGTGTATCATATAGTCTTGGTGTATCATCATATCGACCTCGGTGTATGTTTCTTGGTGTATCATATAGTCTTGGTGTATCATCATATCGACCTCGGTGTATGTTTCTTGGTGTATCATATAGTCTTGGTGTATCATCATATCGGTATCGGTGTATGTTTCTTGGTGTGTCATATAGTCTTGGTGTATCATCATATCGACCTCGGTGTATGTTTCTTGGTGTATCATATAGTCTTGGTGTATCATCATATCGACCTCGGTGTATGTTTCTTGGTGTATCATATAGTCTTGGTGTATCATCATATCGACCTCGGTGTATGTTTCTTGGTGTATCATATAGTCTTGGTGTATCATCATATCGACCTCGGTGTATGTTTCTTGGTGTATCATATAGTCTTGGTGTATCATCATATCGACCTCGGTGTATGTTTCTTGGTGTATCATATAGTCAATCATGAACAAATTGTCTTAGATGGCTATGTCCGATGTAGTAAATTGATCTTAAATGGGGAACACTCCTGGCTGAATCTGTAGTTGAATGGTTCCCTAAACAGCTTGTTGTAACAGGCGACTATCAACTACTTACTTTCCCGGCTACAAATCAGTTATTTATCGATCACCGATATATATTTGCAATAGTGCTGAATGCAGCACAAGGCAACTCGCAATAACTCGATTATGGTACGGAGAGTGAAGTCACCCCATGTTTCACTGTAGCATTGTGGTTGAGAAACTCTTCTACTCGCCAGTATGTCCAAGTTTTGTTTCATTTCATGGACATTTATAGACCTATATTGATAGACATCGACCTAGAGAGGCTGGCTCATGACGTGCATGTTGACATACACTGTCTGCGCCAGGTTGGAAATAGTCAAGCACACACTTAACCTATACATTGTGTTACGTAATACCTATGATATAATACAACTGTAGACGGTAGAACTGTGGTATTTGTATGTGTATACAGCCAGACAAGGCTAAGTGTTTATCTGTATGTGCTTGAGTGAGCGGCTTATTCTGTTTCGTACGCTACGCCTCGCCGCCCACGTCACGGTTGACACCGTTTTCCTAAGCGACGTGAATTGGGAATACATTAATGTGGATCTGGGTCCACTTACACAAAGCGATCTTAGCTTAAAGTTGGTCTTAACTCCGATACTCTAACACAGACTATCGATAGTCATAGCACTGAGATCACTGTGCATGTGGACTAACTTCAAAACTTGATCTCGGAGCTACGGTCGTCTAAGTCTATGTTAAAGTATAGGGGTTACGATTATAGTAGGGAGGACGGGATGGAACAAGGCCCCAAAGACAGGGTAATCAGTGACACCACTGGTAACAGGGAAACACACAGAACTGCTACCGTGACAAACACCGTGGCCACTACCCTAATTCACTTCAGTATGTGTATGTATATATACATGGAACTCATTACATAGTGTAGTAGATTATAACGCATTCATCATTTGAGTAACAATGATTACGTGGATAACATCGTGAGTAAGTGAGTGAGTTGGGTTTGACGCCCCATTGAAAAGTATTCCATATGACGGGGTCTCCGCTTGATGTGGGAGGTAAGCCCCAAGTGATGCTAGTGTTGGACGTTCATCACTTTGGTGAATCCACTGAGCCCGATTATGGAGCTGAGAACATTAGAATCATAATCAGGGTCAGCCGGGATTCGAACCCACCGATTGTACCCAAGAGACTACACGGCTTCAGACATGGGCGCCCCCGATGCTCCCCATCCCATCCCGAAAATTGAGTCGATCTTAGAACAGTTGAACCCAGTAATGCATGGTATATATATAAAGGTTAGAGACAAACGTGTAGAGATAAAGTACCACGGCACTTTAAGATTAAAGTTACTAAATAGAAGGCTCGAGGCTAAACGTTAAACGCATTATACACGCAAGTGTAATATGGAATAATAATCCAAGGAAATCTATCTATGTATACATACACACGTGTGTGTGTGTGTGTGTGTGTGCGTGCGTGCGTGTGTGTGTGTGTGTGTGTGTGTGGACACATTGATTGTTGAATAAAACACCTGCGACGTATCTATGCCACATCGACAGTGTACTTACCAGCACAGGAATGATCCCCTTATACCTCACATTGATTAGATGCTCACAGTTACACAGTGAAGAGCCTCGTCCACCAGATCACATGAGTTTAACCAGAGAGCAACGACTGATACTCGGGTAGGGTACTGATATCAGCGTAAGTAAGCTAATGAGTAATGAATAACGACCTCGCTTGTTACCTCACTCAAGCACATGTCAGTTCTCACAATGTCGGAAACTCACCTGTGCCGTTCACGTACCTGACAGCTAAGTCCAATCAGCGTTACCAGGTTTCGGTGTAGGACAGTGGTTACCGAGAAGGCTGGCGGGCGTTTGTCTCACCGGCTTAACACAAGGCAGACAACAACAAACTAGCCGGGTTTGTATCGCTCTCACGAAGTCTCACGAGCAGAGAGGCCGGTTGGGCGGTAACTAAGGACGCGCTGGGCATGAATATTCATGTCGGGAGGGGGGCTGTGAGTTTCACAAAAGTATCTCATTCCAAACGATTGACGTCCATAGTGAGTTCCCAATTTATTGCTGAACCAAGTACAAAACGGCTGAAGAGAATATGTTACTGTAGGCCAGTTGTAACGGTGGATATCGCTCTCGCCTATTCAATTTATCAAAGAGTGTTTCTATGTGTAGCAAGTGAATAGGTAACCGGCTTTCTTCACCGGACACGACGTATAATGCATGTTGTGTGCAATAATAAATCAATGCGATATGTATCTTTATAAAGTCACTTTGATCTCTAACCAGCACTGCTTAATGACGGGTGGAGAGACTCTTGTTGCGAACACAACATTGTGCTAACTTCCGACACGGGTGCTGAAACAATCATGTACAATTACCCATACTGTGATATTAAATACTCGTTTTCTTACATTTTAGATCCAAAAGACATGTCGTGTCTTTTGTGAATGAGGAAATATTGGTGCTAATCGTGGCACTGTTTATTCCATTTCTAAACTCGCTATGTCTCTGTTGTACAATCCATATTCTGGATACAACATTGGTGCACATTCACTACACAGTTCGAATAAAAAGCAGCTCATTCGGTGCCTTGATCCATAGGCGTCCGACTCTGATATATGTATAAGCATGGCCTATATATATATATAAGTTTTATATCTTATATATATAGGCCATGCTTATACATATATCAGAGTCGGGCGCCTATGCCTTGATCAAATACAACACAACACAGAAAATGAATACCTCAAAATCAACATTATACACAGAGTACGTAGCACGAATACAACAACATACATTTAGCGAACAGTTTTATGAGCCCCCGATGTCATAATCTTACGACGATCTTTCCACCAGTAGAAACTGTTATGTAACAAGGGGTCCTCTCGTCCAAATGAAGACGCGTTACTCCACAGCCTCGCCAGAGTTCCCTCCCTTTGCTAGACTTACGGGGTCTACACGTACACTACAGAAACAGTGACTGTGTGAGTGAGTGAGTATGGTTTTACGTCGCTTTTAGCAATATTCCCGCAATATCACGGCGGGGGACATAATTGGGTTTCACACATTGTACCCATGTGGTGAATCGAACCCGAAGTGTGACGACCTACCACACCGCTTCCAGTAGAAACAGCCTCTCAATACAACCTGGGAGACTATATAAGGGGGAGTGGTCACTCCTCGGCTCGTCACGTGACCAGTGTAGCCAATATGGCGGCAGCGTAGTTTTTAAGATTGACCCGGTTTATTTTCAACAGCTGATTACATACGCTGAGTGTTGTGACAACTGAAAACCTACATGTAGAAGATAAGTTACCTATTCTGTCACTTCATTTTAAGTCAAATAATTGTTATTAGTGTCAGTATTAGTACAGTAGATTTGTAGTAAAGTTTCAAGTCGGCATGTTGTAGCTCACTGGCTTCAATTCTCAGTACACAGCGAAGAAAGACTAAATTATATCGCTAAAAACTTCTTTCACATATTCTTTTAATTTTTAGAAGGGAAATATATTTTTAGTTGAAAGGTGTTTGCAAGTAATAGTGATAGTTTTATAACTAAAGAAAAATTGTTAGGGTGTATTTGAGGTGTGTGAAAAATATGACATATCGCCGATCTGCCATTGAAATACTACAGGGCGTTGTTTGAGTGTTTCTAGTTATTGTTCTAAAACATCTTTCACATACTACTTTAATTTTTATGAGGGGAATATACCATCAGGTGAAAAGTGTTTGCAAGTAATAGTGATAGTTTTATAATCTAAAAAAAATTGTTAGGGTGTTTTTGAGGTGTGTGAAAAAAAATATGACATATCGCCGATCTGCCATTGAAATACTACAGGGCGTTGTTTGAGTGTTTCTAGTTATTGTTCTAAAACATCTTTCACATACACCTTTAATTTTTATGAGGGGAATATACCATCAGGTGAAAAGTGTTTGCAAGTAATAGTGATAGTTTTATCATTTTAAAAAATTTGTTAGGGTGTATTTGAGGTGTGTGAAAAGTATGACATATCGCAGATCTGTTCTGATACGCCATTGATGCTTGTGATACTTATAGTTCTAAAACTTCTTTCTTTCTTGTTGATCTTAGTATGTGACAAAACTGGAAAGGTGTTTACAACGCTTTGTGATAGTTCTAAACTTTCTGATTTTGAGGGGTCTGTGACAGTGTCAGTTAACATTCTGTCAATGCCCATGTCATTCCACACATGCAATAAGATATCTGAACACACACACACACACAGGGGTGCGCCCCCCTCTGGATCCGCCTACGTTTAGTATGTGCTAACTTAACAAAAAAATACATGCATAAAATGCCAGGCTGAATGACAGTTTCAATATGGCTGCCAAGGAGCATATTTGAACATTAATAGTAATCATGTATACACATATTAGCTACTTATTTCAACCAGTAACGTCTACTTTTCAGTTTTCAATACTGACGCGATCGGTAGCTTTCCAAGGAATTAACCTTGTAAGTATGAAAGGAAAGAAGTGTCCCTAATTAGGTGAAACTAACAGGACATATTCTGATACAAAAATATCATGAGTTTTGGAATCGACTTGAATAATTCAAGACGTTGAAAGGAAAGACGGTAAAAAAGACAGACGGAATTAACTCTTGATACCGCAGGTTGAGCAGGAGCAATACAGCGATCACAATCCAGTTAGTTTGTTTGAATAAGTATTGAAACATGGACCTTAGCTTTGGGAAGGAGAAGGGACAACGTCTTGTTATCAAAAACCATGAAATGACGTTCAGTTGGCCTGTGACATATAGCGTAACTAACATCCGGCGCCGCTGTTTCACGTTGGTCCACGTCGTCATATGAGCGAAATATTCTCAAGCACGACGTAAAACCCAATTCACCACCACCACCACCACGTTGGTCCATGCGCCCATTAGCACCCCGCACTGTAATCGTCCACGTGGTCTACGAGCTACCAAGCGAACAATTCCAGAATGTATTTCCGCTGTAGCCGTGCGTCACCAGGCGTTATATACAGAGCCGGCGTGCCTTTGAGATACAGATGACACTACGACAAGCCAGTGAGCATGTAAGCGAGACTAACTGGTACCGATTAACTTATTAGCAGTTATATATCGTTACGGCTTTACACGTTTACGTACAATTATCCGTGAAGAAGGTTTGGAACGTTCAAACTATGGCGGGCCATGGATATAAAGATACTACAACGGTTGACAGTTGCTGTCTGAACATCTTGGATCTGTCATATGACTTCCATGAAGAACAAAGAAAGAGGAAAATAGGCGTGGTGATGAAGAACGACATGATCACCGTGTACACTTCTGTGACATACAGCGCTAGTTCAGACAAAGACACGACGCCCGTTGTTCATCCGGTAACTATACGTACTCTGAGACGAAGTTCCGTTATTCTGTATTCAGATGGAGCCGCAGAGTTGTCCGGAAGAGAGAACACAGAAAACAGTTTTTCAGGATCCGAGCAGACGACACCTACACGTCCCCTCCCGTCGGAACGTTCGTCGTCCCGCTTGAAAAACGTACCGGAGACTGACGAGAAGGAGGTGTGTGTGCTGTCGTCGGCGTTTCAGCGAGGAATCAACACAAAGTGAACCTTTCCCGCTGGTTACCTGTATGTTCGTTAACTGTAAATATACTAGGCACATAAAGAAACTGTGCATTGTCAAAATATTATCCCAGTTGATAAGTACGATAACAATGTCAAAGGTACATATAAACGTTAATGGAGGGATCGTGAGACCATAACAAGTCGGGAGAATTCAATTGAAAAGTCAGTCACAATGACGTCACGAGTCCACAAGCGGGACAGGGGCAAACGACCATGTCAAGCTCAATAACGGGTATGTCCACCATCGGCATTGAGAATAGCAGTGCATCGACGACGCATAGAGCCTATCAAACGTGCAAGGAAGGATTGCGGGATGTCACGCCAGATTCTCTCAAGTTCTGTTGCAAGGTCAAGGACGTTATCTGGCGGATGAGGAAGACGGCGTAGACGTCTATCCATCTCGTCCCAAACATGCTCTATCGGGGAGGGATCCGGTGAATTTGCAGGCCAAGGCAGTAAGTCAACGTTGTGGTGTTGCAAGAAATCCATAGCAAACCTTGCCGTATGAGGGCGGGCATTGTCCTGTTGGAATGTTAACCCAGGGCCATGACGTTGCAGAAAAGGAATTGCCACAGGTCGAAGAATCTGGTCCCTGTAGCTCATCCACACCAGTTAAGTTGCCCTGAACAATCACCAAAGGAGTTCTTTGGCGTGCTGTTATTCCACCCCAAATCATCACGGAATCACCACCAAAGCGATTCTTCTCCAAGACACAGGCCTGTGCATAACGTTCTCCCACGCGTCTATAGGCACGTTGACGTCCATCACTATGGGAAATGTTAAACCTGGACTCATCTGTAAAACAACATTTCTCCACCAAAACAAGGGTCTGCGGACATGATTTCGGCACCACATTCGGCGGGCTTGTCGATGACGTTGTGTCAGGATAGGCCGTATGGCGGGACGTCGTGGTCTGATCCCGTGATGACGTAAACGTTGTCAAACTGTGCTGGGGTGGATACGGCGAAGTCCTGGGATGGTTCGGGCAGTCATCACTGCAGTTTGAAACCTGTGGCGAAGATGGGTCACCCTTATCCATTTGTCCTGTCTTGGCGTTGTTACACGTGAACGTCCAGAACGTGGCCAATCGATGACGTCATTTGTGTTCTGGTAGCGTCTCATCAGTGCAGAAACGGTGTTCCGGTGGCAGTGGAAATGTGCAGCCACTTGTCGTTGAGACATTCCCCCACGGACCACCCCAATGGCCTCATGACGTTGTGCAGACGTGAGCCTTGGCATGCTATGCGTTTCAATAGCCGTTTAATTTTGTGAACGATCGCAA